CAAACTAGACAGTACCCTTCAGGCATAATCAAATTAATAATGAGAATGTCAGGCAGTGATAGCAAATGGATTGCATGACAGGTACGTAGTTAATCTGTTCAATATTTTTGTCTAAATCTTAAAGAACCAATGTAATCTTTTTTGAAGAGTCTGATTCTGCACCTGAGGATGATCTTGTAAAATGCCTATAAAAACTTGGAGGAAGTCAGCACCCCAAAGACAAGCCAATGGCACCCATTGTTTATACGAATTTTGATTTTCTTTTCAGGATAAAGAGCAAGTGGTGCATGGCAGGTAATGATCAAGAAACCGGAAAATGTGGAATGAGTTGCATCCTTTTCACCATTCTAAATTTGCAACTCAGATCAGACTTTTCATATACTTATCAAAATGATAAAAACAAAAGTATGATCATTTGACTTGACCTTAGTCTCAGGTTTGAACATTGGACTGTGACCAAGGTCTAAATCTCTCCTTAGTCATGGGAACCCACTGGTTGACCTTGGGAAATCATACTCTCTCTGCCTCTGAAAAACTCTTTCCAAGAAAATCTCATGATAGGTTAGGAGTAACTTCCTGATGGTAAGAGATGTTCAGCAACAGATTATCCTTCTCTGGAAGCCTTTAAGCAGAGGCTGAATTGCTATCTGTTGGATTGCTTTGTCTTTTCCTACATGGCATAGGGTTGGACTGGATGGCTCTTTGGTATCTTCCAAATCTGTGATTCTATGAAAAGAATGGGTATTTAAAAGAGCTGAAAAATTACTAATTTATCCAACTTGATTTTGTTGTAGTATCCCTACTGAACAGCCATTCATATGGGTGGAGAGTTGGGAGGGGGAATGAGAGAAACACCTGGCTATGGACTACTGCCATAAACAGCTCTTAGCCTTAGTATTTTATTCTGTACATGTGGCCCGCTCCCTGTTACTGTGTTATGAATGATTTTATTTTAATTTAATATTGTTTGCTGTATTTTTATGTTTTATGTAATTTATTATGTTATTGTTTGTGGTTTTGATTTCTTTTATTGTATTCTGTTGTAGGGCTTGGCATCATGTAAGCTGCCCCAAGTCCCCATCAGAGAGATGGTGGCGGGGTATAAATTAAGTTTATTATTATTATTATTATTTTATGCCATTTTTGAAACTCACTTGAGGCTCGAAGGATGTAGTAAGTTCAGAGGTGACAAAAGAAGGGCATTGCCTCTTCCAAAAATTCTGCACCCTTATGAAATTTCCCTTCACACACCCCCCCCCCCACATTTCTAATATTGCAGACACTAAAAATCAATCACTCCTAGAACTCCTATACTTGCTGTGTTGATGCTCTCTGCATTTTGTAATTTTGCCTGTCTTTATTTGGATATTTTCACTGCATTTCTGAATGTCCCATAGAAGTTTTAAGTTACTGCAAAGATAGTAATTTGGGATGACTCAGTTAAAACACAAGCTTGCCCAAACTTTAACATCTACAGGGGAAGACTTTCTCTTGGTCCTGCCAACATCACAGGCTCACAGGGTGACTTTTTATTGAGCTTGTTTTACATATCTTTTAACTTTTGAATGTTTTAATTGATTTTAAAATGCACTGTATTATGATATGAATTAAATTGTTTTCAAATTGTAGGGTAAATGTTTTACCTTATTGTTTTAGAAGCCACCTTGGGTCCTACTCTGGACACAAGGTAGCATTGGAGTTTTAAGAAAGGAGGGCAAATAGCCACCTGAGAACCATCCAAATAGAGACAGGCATATAAGCCTCGCTACCAAAAAGCTTCCCATGGTTCCCAAATACGGGGCAGCAGAGACATTAATGTGGACATTATCACATGAGTTTGGAAGATAGGGGCACAGAGAAAGAGACTGTAGTGCTAATGTCCAAATAGTGTCTCCTGCAAGCCATTACTTGTCCAAAGGCACTATTTATAGGAGAAACAGCATATAAGAGCCTCCTGGCAATAAAATCAGTATACCATAAAGGCCAGATTTCTAGATCTTGTGTAAAAAGATGCATTCAGCATTCCTGAAATGAGCAGGTTTGCCACATCTGATTGGCAGCTGAAGGCTGATAAATAACAACAACAAAACACCCTCCAAACAGAGATGGTTGTGTAAAATAGTACAGCAAAGCAAATACCAATGTCTTTTGGGAGTGTGGAACCAAGACTTCTTGTTTCATGTTGCTGTTACTAAATATAGTAGGAACTCCAACCAAGAAGCAAATGGCAGCTGTGCCGTTCAGACCCAAACGGGCCAGGTGGAGATACACCTGAGTCCAGGACTTAGTCAGGGTCACTTGAAATTGTCAATATGTAGTTAGACCATAAGTATAGATAGCATAATTCTGTTTATTAAATTGGAAAGTGGATGAATTTCTGGTTATTAATTTGTAAAGTGGACAACTTATGATCCAGAACCCAGATTGTTCTCAAACCCAATAGAACAAGGAAGAAGCAGATCTTTCATGCTCTTTTCAACAACTTCCAAGTCTATCTTCTGAGAGTTATATGTGGATTTTCTCTTTAGAAAAAATCTGTACAAAACATATGTGCTTTTTCTTCAAATGAATACATGGATGGACGCATATCCCAGTAATTGAAAACATGTATGCTTTCTCTATAGCTCTATCTATAATAGTTATTCCTTCCGCACCATTTTCAGATGTGCATTTTTTAAAAAAATCATAAGACACACAAAGAGCCCAGAAATGTATGGCAATCTGTGTCCAATTTTGTGTTCAGACCACAAGGAGCAAAACAAAGGAATTCCCCTTTCTTTCTCTATCTCAACAATTTTCTCAATATGAGTTAATGTTTACCTCCTGTGGAGGAAAGCAAGAATATTTCCAACTTTAGGAAGAACTTCTGGTGGTAAGAGCTTCTGTATAATGGAATAGATTCTTTTTTGGAGATTTTTTTTTAAAAAAAACAGAACTTGGATGTCCACTTGTTTTAACTCGATTCTTATGCTGACATGAGTTTGGACTAGATAGCATTTGGCTTCCTTCCAGCTCTTTGGTTCTAAGTTTATAGTGAAATGAAACTTGAAGGTTCCATGTTATGTTTCATGTAATTCTGATAAAGCTTTCCAGGTATCATGTAGCTATTAACCACAATGGTTGCAGATCAACAAGGAACAAGGGGTGATTTAGTGCCTTCAGCAATGAATACCAAATGCTGAAGGCAATCAGAGGAGGGCAGTTGAAGTCATGTCCTATTTGTGTGTCCCTGTGGCTCAGCAATCTGGGGGGAAAGATGTTGTACATAAAGGCCTTCAGCAGGATTCTCCTGAGAGAGAAACTCAATTGTTGAAGGACTTTGAATAAGTTCCCAGAGCAGCATTCAGTCTATGTGCTTTGGAGCTGACACTATATAATTCTGCAACAGGAGAGATTATCTGTCATGACAATCACTTATGAATGGAAGGGGGAGTGCAGCAACCATTTATGGACAAAAGAGTGCTTGCGAGGAACAGCCACACTTTTATTTCAGAAATGAGACTGCACAGCCGCTGTCCTAAATTTGATGATGAGTCAGAGTGCTTTTGAGTTTCTCAGGAAAAACATTGCCTTGTTCTTGTATGACAAAAGGGACAATATCTCCCTGAAGTGCACCAAACAGGCACTGCAAAAGCAACTGATGAGCATATAGACAACCCCAATTGTATATACAATTCTCATCCATTTCTCCATTTGTTTTATTTCATGTTTGTAGTTCAGGCTGTAGCATTGAGATTTGCTGTATTGGATAAACAATAAAGAATCATGGCACACCTTAAATACATTTCTTATGGTGCCAGGCTTCAGGGACTACAGTTTTATGCCATAATAAATTTGTTGGTCTTTAAAGTGACCCAAATCTGTTCTTTTTGCTACAAACAGCCTAACATGGCTACTGCTCTGGAAATCTATGCTCTGGCTATTAATTTCAAACTTGGAAAACTTTCAGAAACCAAAAAGTTCTTAAAACAAATGAACAACAGAATTACATCACACTGGTTTCACTGAAAAACATTAACCAATGCTAGTTAGGAATTCCAAGAAAACTGGTTTGAATCAAGAATCTCAGAAGTGACATTTTAATACTACAGTATCTTCTATTTTGAAAAAGCTTTGTTTTCATTTCACCTCATTGACAAAGAAAAGTGTGCAGTTCACTAAGCTATTTTTTTTTAAAAGAAACCTGAATGAAAGATAGCGATCTCAATAGATAAGCACTAAGCAGTTCACAGCACAAAGAGGGCCACATTGTACCTCATTGTCAAAAGATAATGTATCCAATGGGGATAATAAGAAAGATGTGCATGCCCTGCAACTATCTTTATTTGTCAGGGATGTTCCCTGTTATTCCCATGGCATTCCACTTAACCAGCTTTTGTGTGTTTGTGTGTATGTGTGTCAGGTGACTTGAGAAACTGCAAGTAGCTTCTGGTGTGAGCTGGAGCTGACAGAGGGAGTTCATCCACACTCTCCCTGGATTCTAACCTCCAACCTGTAAGTCTTCAGTCCTGCTGGCACAAGGGTTTAACCCATTATGCCACCCAGGGCTACTTAACCAGCTGCTTTAAAATTACCCTGTTCCTTCTCTCCTTCTCTTTATCCTCAGCTTATTAAATTTTCTTATTAAATAGTTTGCACTCAGTTAACTCAGAAGAGGGAGAAGAGAATCTTGCATTTCCCATTAGGCCCAGGCAACAGTAAGTTACTGCATCCTCTCTTAATGTGTGTATTCTTCTTCATTAATAACTCTCCCATGCTAAGAACACTCTGGATGTTCCTTGGTCACATGTGCTTTGGTTTTCATCTGTGAAATATGAGGGGACATGGAGATACCTTAAACATAGCTAGATCTGTTAAGGCAGTGGTTCTGAACCTGTGGGTAAACTGGCTGGGATTTCTGGGAGTTGTAGGCCCACACACCCGAGGACCCACAGGTTGAGAACCACTGAATAAAGGTATACTGAAAATGGGGGGGGGGGGGGGGGGTTGCAAGCATCAATACCAAGATTAGAGTAGATATGTGTGTTAAAGAAATAAAAAAAAACCTCATTCCGGTCATCAGTATATGCAGGTGCTGAATTAATGCCAGTAAATTTGGGCCACACTGGTGAAGTATAACTGGGTGTGCTTTAGGATACATACTTGCTCTCTCGTTTGGGAGTGTGAGAAGCCATACTCTCTGCATTTAGTGATGCATACAAGGACTATACAAATTTGTTAATCTGTAGGATTTATTTTTGATTCAATACCACAAGTTTATGCTTTTGACTTTGCTGAATAAAAGTAAATTTATGTTTCCTCTTTCAACTGTGTGAAACTACTGTGTTTATGATGGACCAGATTCCACGCAATCTACAACAAGTTGCACATGACTTTCTAAAATCTCTAGATCTGCCATATTCTTTTTGCTTCATGCTAATTCATGAACTAATACCATAAGTGAACTAGAAAGATATTTAGCAAAATCAAAATTTCACACTATGTCTAAAAATCTGTCTAGGAAATGCTGACAAAACAGTTCACAATCCTAGAATTGCTTCTTTTTTTCCCTCTGCCCTCTTTTCCCCTAAGCAGAACTTTAGAAGCCACCTGAGATAGTTGAGAGTCCCTTTGCTTAACATTTTGCTTTATAGATCAACAACGAATAAAACTACTGAAAAAATGCTTCTGCCATCTCATTACTTTCTTTCATGGTGGGCTTGAAAATGGGTCATTTTATACAAAGCCTGGGATGTGACTGAAAGTACTTTGCTTGGGAGTTTGAGAAGGTGCAGCAGGGCTTGGCGCCTTCTTCAGAATTGTCCCAGATTTCTTTCCTTCCAGCCAGTATGTTATCATGTCACCTTTCCCCTTTAAAAGAAGAAAACAAGTGAAAATGTATCACCAGCATCAACAACCAGACATTTTCATATGTCTCCCCACCTCCATACTTGTATATGTTTAGCCTGGAGGAAAGAAGATTAAGAAGTGATAGCCATTTTTAAATGTCTGAAAGTTTGCTTTCGGCTGCTACAGAGACTAGGACACAGAGCAACTGATTCAAACTTCAGGAAACATTAGGAAGAACTTTCTGCAATAAGAACTATTCACTTGTGGAATATAGTGCCTGGGAATGCGGTGAAGTCTTCTTCTCTGAAGGTTTTTAAGCAAAGTTTGTTAGGAGTGCTTTAATTATGTATTCCTGTGTAGCAGGGGATTGGACTGAATGGCCTATATTGTCTCTTCCACCACTGGATCACAACTCCTATCAGCTCTACACAGGACAGCCAATTGTGAAGTATAGAAAGTGTCAATCCTAGAATTTCAAGTGCCCTGATTTAAAGACATGCAAAGGGCGGAGGTGCCATAAACTAAATCCATTAGTAGGCTTCACATAATTACACAACTAGGTTTGTATCTGGTTACTTACTTTAATACATCTAAGACATATCTGTTGGGGGAATCTTATCCTGAATAAGCTCCCAACTCTCCAACTAAAGGCCTATAATGCAATTACAGTAGAGTCTTGCTTATCCAACATAAATGGGCTGGCAGAACATTGCAAAAGCGAAAATGTTGGCTAATAAGGAGGGATCATGGGAAAGCCTATTAAACGTCAAATTACGTTATGATTTTACAAATTAAGCACCAAAACAACAAGTCAACAGAAAAAGCAGTTCAGTACATGGTAACATTATGTAGTAATTACTGTATTCATTAATTTGGCACAAAAACATGGCAATGTATTGAAACAGCGGTGGATCTGGGCAGGAGGCAGACTGCATTGGATAATACAGAATGTTGGATGAGTGAAGGTTGGATCAGCAAGACTCTACTGTAGTTATATGTTCAATTGTGGAAAGGAGGTAAGTTTTAATGAAACTACATCCAGCAAAATTAAAACCTGTTCAAGCTTGAAGCTAGCTGATTACCAAGCAATACACAGGTAAATAAAAACAAGATGGGGGCTCACACACATAGGGAAGATTAAAGGAGAGAGGATAAGACAAACAATGAAATTGAAAAGCCACTCCAAATATTGACCTCTCTGGTGCTTGACTTTTAGCTTCCCCCCTATTCTCTTTAATCAAGGGAAGGTCAGAAGCAAAGAAAGCTTCCAGGATAGATAGCAGAGTTTAGATGCCCAACAGAGAGTAACAAATATTGGTTACTGACTTTGATTTATTTTTGCTGTGATAGATGAGGAGTGCTGTATGCAGCATTTTCTTCTTCATATGGCAAAGGGTTTGGCTGTTTTGAAGTACTCTCCATGTTAGCTAGGATGAAGAGGTGGCAGTGGTACTATTTTGTCCTCTTCTTCAGTCATCAAAATGGCTTTAACTAGCCTACATAGGGCAAGATGGATGGATGCCATCCTTGAAGGGTGACTCTGAAGGAGCTGGGGGAGGTGACGGCCGACAGGGCACTCTGGTGTGGGATGGTCCATGAGGTCACGAAGAGTCGGAAGCAACTGAACGAATGAACAACAACAAAGCCTACGTAGAACCTGGCAGTTTTTCTGATGAGAGATCTGGGAAACACAGCCTCTTAATGTCTGAAAATTAGAAAAGGTGGTGATCAAGCCTGAGTCATCCATACCACTGGTATTGGAAGATCTCAATGGTGAGAGAATGCTGGTGGTGTCTTTTATGTCATACCTTTATATTCCAGGACTAAAATTTCACATTAAAAACAGGTTAATGTAAGCACAAATTAGGCCCTAGGGCAATGATAACTCTCAATATTTTGATCAAATTGCTGTTCCTGGTATTCCTTCAGAGAGACACTGAGTCTTAATGTGCCTTAAGGAGAAGTCCCAAAAGGTGCATTCTTCATGCTTCTGTATGGATGAGAGGCCAGCTGAATGTAAGGAGTTAACGCAAAAGCCTTCCAGAGGACAGCCATTCATTTTCCTTTGGGAAAGCCTGAACACAAACGTTTCATATTTACCTTGACTTGCAAATTCCCTCGGCACACCAATATGTACTCTCCAATCTGTTCCAGCAGCTGGTATGTGTTTGAACTGCACTGTATTTTGAGAGCTAAAGGGAAAGATAAAACAGTCACACAACAGTTATATCGGCATCCATTTTCAAAGATACCTAATGACAGATACTGACTATTCATCACCACGTCTACTACTATATCATGCCAATTGATGTACTCATGAGGTCTTGTCATCTACTTGAGGACATCTCCAGGTGAATATGTAGTTTAATATCCCAGCCTTATTTCTGATAATGATTTCCAGCTCATTGATCCTGCTTATACATCCACCCTTCTACCTCCAAAATATGACCTCCAATCATGTGAAACATGACTTGTCAACTTTTCTACTCATCTACCTTCTGTGGTTTTTAACAGCAGCCCTAGTATAAATAAAAGTGGCAGACAGAAGATCTTCCTTCTAGCATGGAGGTCACATGATAGAGAATGCCTGATCTTTGGGCTTGCAATAAGCATAAGGGAAGCATCAGTAAAAAGAGAGAGAGAGAGAGAGAGAGAGAAAGCAACCTTAGCTTCAATGGGCACAATTCCTTGGAAGTTTATTTATTTATTTATTTATTTATTTATTTATTCACTGCATTTCTATGCCGCCTTTCTCAGTCCAAAGGCGACTCAAGGAGGCTTACACTGGTAAAATTTGATGCCACAATGAACATAAACAAAATTAAAAACAATTAACACACATTATAAAAACCCTGTAAAAGCATGAAAAGGCTTCCTGTTAGCTCATTTTCCAAAAACATTGTCAAGCTGTTCCATGTTCATTCTTTCCTGGGTTCTTCTGTAGAATGAAATAAATGGAGGCTACATAAAGGAAGGATAGATTGTTTGCATTGAATAGAGAATGGACGGCCTCAGTTGGTCCAGACTCTGCTTCTCCAAGACCTGGAGGGCTGCATTCTGACCCTTCTGCAGTTGGTGATGGTAATGAAAATTAAATTAAATTAACATTTTTCTGTTGTTTAAACAAGGTGTATGCTCACTACCCCTCTTCTCTGTAAGTAAATTGGCTGTGCTGGAAATGTCGATCAATGTTGACTTTAGTATGAGAAACTAGCAAGTTCTGGACAGCTTCATGACCTGTTTCCTTGAGTAGGGATTCTTTTCCTGTCCCAATAGTTTAAGTTTCAAGTCCACTCCCTGAACAATAGAGCAAAACTCTTTAATAGAGAAGTTTCACCAAACTGCAAAGCTGAGGAATTCCATGAAATGGAACCATGAAAGTGGAATCAAAAAAGATTTTGGATGTTTACTGTAATGGGTACAAGTCAAAGGACCAGAATGACCTGAACTGCCATATTCCAGCTCTGCATGAGGTTTTTGCTACCCCAAGTCTCTCCTAAGGTTCTTGTATACCCACCCAATTTGGTTGGGGGAAAAAGAATTACTGTTCCTGGAAACCTTCAGAGTTGTGTAACTCCCAACCTGTCTTAAATGTTTGGAGCACAAAGACAGGCAAGCAATTTAAAACTGGAAATCTACAGTGAAAAATGTTGCTGTCTAAATCAAATGTGGGTAGAAATTAGAAAGTAGTATATCTTTCTAGTAGTTTATGTAGTAGACTGAGAATTTCAGTCCTTCTCACAAAATATGCTGGAAAAGGTCAGGCTTTCCTTCTTGTTATCCCCTATGAGTGGCAATTCTGCAAAAGAAGACACAGGGCCCTCCATACATTGTCCTTTTGTCATCTAGCATTTACACTTTATCTATTCGCCCTGTCTTCACAATTGATTGCATCAGTCTGCCCGCTTGAGTTCAGAAATGGTTACTATTTCAGGCTACTGGTTGTTTGTTGGTTTTTATATTTCGCTATATATATGGTTGTTTTATATTGTTTTATGATGTTACTGAATTGTAATGTGCTATTTTAATTATGTTGTTGGGCTTGTCCCAATGTAAGGCGGTACAAAAATAAAGTAGCAGTAGAAGTAGTAGTGGTTATTATGTCAAGAAAAACATTTGAGATTTTTTCCCCACTCCTTATTTCTCACTTGGATTTGGTGATCTCTAAAACCCTACCTTCACTGGTTGACTCCATCCTGGAAGCTGTGTTGACAGTGTCTCCAAATAAGCAATATCGGGGCATTTTGGTTCCAACAACACCTGCCACAACTGGCCCTAAAGAAGACAAAATTGTTCAAAAAGACTTTGAACTCCTCAGCACTAAGTTGATTATAGTGTCAGATAATAGCCAGGTCAGGTACAGTAAATTATCCATCCTGTGAAGGATGACTGAATTTCTAAAAAGCTAACAAAAGAATAACATTGGAAATGAAAACTAGATTGAAAATGAAGAACAACATGGGGGAGGAGAATTGTCTCACCCCTTCTAGGAGTGCTATTACATAATTATGAATTGTATATGCATATAATATTTCCCTCCCCCAAAATTCAACCAGATTAAGGCATTTAGGCCAACACTATTATGCATCTACCCCCCTCCTCTTGCTCATGTTGCACTTCTCCCCAGTTACGTGTGCACGGACAATACACTTTCCCCCGCCGGCCCGAGAAAAACCACTCACACAAGGGTGTTGGGATAAACAATGGCCACAACTCATTTATTGATAACAGGAACAAGGGTTGGCAGCCACGCATGGGTCCTGGATCAGGATCGGGCAGCCCACTGCTGTCTGATACCACGAGACACACCAGGGGACCGCCGGCACAATACCGGGCCCAGCGTAAACTTGGCACCCCTGAGACCACCAGGCGTTCCCCCTTACCGCTAGGGGAGATACCAAACCAGATCCAGGGCCCATGCCCACGCCAACCAGGAGTTGTGACGGGAAGCATCAAAAACAAGCAAAAACAGGTAACTGTAACAACTTAACAAAACAAGCTAACCGTAAACAATTACTTGAACAGCATGCAGGGTGGGTGGGGTGGATCAGCTGTTGCAGGCCCAGTGCCTGCTTGAGAGCATGGGGCAGCCTTAAGTAGGCTGCCCACGAGGGAGGGGAGGTCAGCTCTAGCCTCACCCGCCTGGAGGCGTGGCTAGCAGCTGATAGGGCCACCCTGCTGGATGGCGGGAAACCTTCCCGCCGCACGAGGGGGCTTCTGGGAGGAAGAAGCCCCCTCAGGTGGAAATGGCGGTGGGGGACGCCCCGCACTGCAACTTCCTTGGCCCGGTAAGTCGGGCCATGCCTTTTCTTGATGAAGTCAATCTGATAACTCTAAAAGTATGTAATCTGTACAAATATAGAAGCAACAAAGCTATTTTCTCATGGTCAGTGACCATATTCCAAGTGAAAATAAGTTTTGACTTAGTGTAGGCCACAACACTGCCCACCATCATACCAGAATGGATGCCTGCTCTGATCTTTAGCTGGGTATTGGGCTTGTGCGGGATCTTAAATGTTTCACAGACCAAGACAAGGTCCAGAGCCATACTTGCAATTTCACTGGCATGGCAAATGCCATTCTCTTTAGGCACTCCTGACACAACCATGTCTGAAAGTGAAGAAAAGGAGAATAACTGCTTACTTTGGCAGCTACAGATTATTATCATGGTGCAATACACAAATGCAAAATTGAAAAACAAACAGTGTGTATTAATCTCTAACTGGTTGCACTTATAATATCCAATAGTGTTTTTAGTTCATATAAAATTTAACCCAATTTAACTTATAAGATTTTTTAAAAAACATTTATTAGGATATATGACTCAATCAAACCAAAGACTGCTTTATGACTATGAACTCTGAAAACTCAAACAAATAGGATAAAGAATTTCAGACAAGCTGTGCAAAGAGAAACATCTGCTTTTTTAATATTACTTTTGCTGTATCAGGAAGGAATGGCAGAGGAATTAAGACAGTTTGTGTATTTCCATATGGTAATCACTGGAGTATGTAAATATTAACAGTGCTTCTGAATATGAAGCTGAAACTCCACAAAACTCTGCGGCTTAGATGACATTCGTGGCTGTCTTCATTATTTCCAGTATGTAGTGATCTCTGGAGCCATTCCAGAGCACTGCTGCTCCAAATTGACCAAATTGACCAAGCAACCATGACAGTGCACTGAATACTTAGGGACTGCCTTTAGGAGGAAAGAAGTCATTGAACTCAATCCTTATTTTCTACCACCAGCTAATTCAGAGGCTTCATGTTGTCTGCCAATTTCTTGAACTCTAAGCAACAGGAATCCTGCATTATATTTCTCACCAAGAGGAAACCATGTAGGCTCCATCTTACATGGTTGCAGTAGCAGGTGACTGAGAAGTTGCCAGTTTACATTTTTCATAATGCTTCCAACCATCTGAAGTTACTTTACTTTGGGGCACTGAGGAAAAGAAAAATGCCAGTGATCAGCTTCCCAGGAGTCTAGGATGAGAGACACATGGGTGGCACAATTCCAGAATCTCATTCTAAGCGAAAGGCAGGATACAAATCCAATAAATGGAAATGAATAAATTGTGTGCCCTGTTGGGCTACTGCAGTTGCCTCAGAATACTGGGCACAGATAGTGAACATAATTCCTGCCCTGATGGGGATGAATGCACACCATACATTAGCCCACCCTGTATTCTTTTATGCTTCACATTCAAAATACTGTGATTCACCTATTGTTTGACTTTGTGATATTTACCACCTGCACCTCTCCACTGTGAGATAACTACCCACACATTCAGTTGGCCAATCCTCACATAATAGATCCTTTACACCAGTGGTTCCCAACTTTTTTTTTTTTTAGCCAGGGACCACTTTGACCAGCGACCATTCTCCAACATTAGTACCAAAAGGGTTATAAATCAGTTTTTGGTCAACTTTAGAGTCAATTTGGTTATTTAGGGTGCTGATTCAGAAAATTGAATTGGATAGACCACATCAGCTCTAGTTTCTGATACAGAACATATGCCATCCAGTAATTGCCATCGGCTTGCCCACAGAAAACCAGCCACAGCATTATAAGAGGGTTTCATGAGACCAGGCAATCTCATTGCAATGGTGTAGTAATGGTGAGGCTGCGGACCATATTTTAGTTCTTGCGGACCACTGGTGGTCCATAGATCACTGGTTGGGAACCACTGCTTTACATCCTTTGATCCATGAACCTTTCTGTTGGATGTTTTGTGGTGGCGTGAGGGATTTTTTTGAGATGGAAACCTACAAAAATGTACTGGAAGTTCAGTTTTTGCTCACCTTGAGTTTCTAGCTCTTTTGTCTCCATTTCACCATCTAGTAATTATATTTGCACAAGTAATAATTAAGGGAAGTGTCTCATGAAGGATTATGGGATACAAGTAAAAGTATGTTAATGTTTATACATCATATTTCAAATATGCAAAGCAGCTTGCATTCATTACTACAAGAAATTCCATCCTTATAATGTAGACTGTTATTATCGAATTATTTTAAGAAAGTAGATATGGGCAAAGAAAAGACATTTGACGCTGGAATGAGAACTGTAGCTCCCTCCTTATGATTTTACCTACTATACATTATGACTCTCATATCCATGGGGAATACATTCCTGAACTTCACATGAATATGAGAAATCATGGATAGATAATATTCAACTCTATTTAAATGAAGGACTTCTAGCTCAAGAATACAATAAAGGTCATGCTGGACCTATTTTACCAGATGTGTATAAATAAAACAACACTCCTGTGTAAACATTGGAAACTTTCCTTGATACAATAAATTTTTCTAGATACAAATAACTTAATGATTTATCCTTGGTAATACACACACTGCCTTTATTGACCGTGAAATTCTCAGTCTACTATATACAACAGCAAAATCACAACACAGACATATACAAGAGGAAGTCACAGTAAAAAGGAAAACATTCTTAAAAGTTACTAATCTCATGAATAAAATTTGCAACAGTCTCACAAAAGAATGGATCAAAGTTGTCCTTGGTAATTATTTTATTGCTATAGTACAAAAAGAAATATAATTGGAGTTTGGTGACCTTTTTATCAGTTTGGATGTCCTTACTTCATTTTTTCATATCCATTTGGAGCAAGAACCTTTGAAGATCTGCCTAATAAAATGATGATGATGATAATAATAATAATCTGAAGCACTTACAAGCATCTCCAATTGTTTCCACTTTGTAGACATCATAATTATCTATTATGTCATCAAAGGTTGTATAGAGTTTATTGAGGAAGTCAACCACTTGGTAAGGTGTACTGGTGCTAGAGAGCTGAGTGAAGCCAACAATGTCACTGAAAAGAAAGGAGGAACCTCATCATGGTATATGTCTACGTCAGGATTTATAAAAAAAATACTTCGATCAAAAAGTTTAAAGACATTTCATATTATATTGTATTATATTTCCTCTCACCCCCCCCCCTCATTTTTTGTTTTGATTATTGTCTGACTTTGGAGGAAGAGAGACCTAAGAGGAAGATTAAAGCACAGTGCAAAGGTATATGGCCTTAAACCTTTTTTTTTTGACCAGAGACCACTTGACCAGGGACCACTTTTTTACCAGGGACCACTCTCCAACATTAGTACCAAAAGGGTTATGAATCAGTTTTTGGTCAACTTTAGATTCGGTTTGGGGTGCTGATTCAGAAAATTGCATTGGATAGACCACATCTGCTCTAGTTTCTGATACAGAACATATACCATGGTCAGCAACAGGGAAGGAGTGGCAGACAGTACGAAAGAAGTGGAAATAAAATAAAGAGGAAGGACGCTTGTGGACCAGATTTTCATCTTCATGGCCCACTGATAGTTGCGACTCACAGGTTAAGAACCATGGCCTTAAACACATGGCTTAAATCCTGTTGCTGCTTCTAACTAGTATAAACCATTTGAATAAAATGGTTTACTCTATAATAATAAATAATAATATAACTTTATTTGTAGATCTCCCTACCTCTCTGAAGGGACTCAGGGGAGTTTCCAACATATATGACAAACATTTAATGTCAATGAGTTAGGAGCAAAAACAAGATTCACATGTTGATTCCATCAATAATGGACATTCTAGTTGGCACTAACCAACAGGAAGTCAGCAGGATAACTAGGTTTGTAAATTAGCAATGGGGAATCAATTGACCTCCAGATGTTGAGCTACAATTCCTGTGATCTCTCAGCACTGACTATGCTTGGTACGACTGATTGAAATTGAATTCCAGGAACCAAAAGAAGGTTCATTCTTTACTGTGGATTCTCTTCAACCCAGCCAATTTTGTTCTGCCATTAAGCTGTTTTTAGAGGGCAAACAGCTGTGCCCATGAAAAAAATAAACAACTTCCTCTAAGCTCTGGTATATGGAATTCCCATACTAGAGATTACAATTTTTCCAATTCATTCAATGATGGATAGCAATCAAATTCTGCAGTGGAATATCTGTCCAAAAATGTTAATTAGCATTTTATTTGTTTCAAATATATTTGTTTATAGGACAAGAGAGCTCAATAACGTCAGTCGCTCCTCCAAATGAGTCAATTAAACCTCATTTGCCGGGAAGGGGGGAGGGAATATATTTTTTTTAGAAATTAGATTTACATCTGTTGGGTAGATACATATTTTGATGTTGTCCACCTTGTCATACATAAATCTTGTCCATCTATAGACAAGACACATAAGCATAAATCAGTAGACATTGATCAGCAGAATTTTAATGAACTTGCTTGCTGAATGCAGAAGTTTGAACTTCAGAACAGTTCTAAACAATGATGCCTTTTGCTCACAGGGGAAAAAATACAAGATCAAACAATATATCACACAAAGCTTTGTGTACAAACAAATATTCCTCAAGATGAATCAGAGCAAGTTCCTATTTTCTGTACTAGTCCCTTGGCACTAAGGGTGAATCTAGATTGTAGAATCAATGCAGCTTGACATCACTTTAACTCTTATGGCTCGATGCTCTGGAATCATGGGAGTTATAGTATTACAAGCCCTTTAGCCTTCTCTGGTGGCATCTACACTTCCATATAATCCAGATACAGCACTGAGATAAACTGCATTGAACTGGATTATATGGCAGTGTAGACTCATATAATCTAGTTTAATGTGATTCAATCTGCATTATATGAGTCTATACAAGGCATGGGCAAGCTTTCTAACTTGGGGGCCCACATGATGTGCTGGAGTGGGGTGGGCAGGCCGGGAGGGAGAGGGTTCTCCCCATTCCCCTCCCTGCCCTTTCCTTCCCTTCCTCTTCTCTTACGGAGGCAGAAAGTGAAGCCCCCAAGTTAGAAATGTTTGGATCCCCAAAGGGTTAACCTTGGTCAGGATAAGATGGTGGATGGGAGAGAAAAAGTGTATCAATTAGACCCCATATTGCCTACTCCTGATATAGAATCCTAGAGCTGGAAGAGACCCCTAAGGGCCATTTAGTCCAACCCCTTGCCATGCAAGAAGGCACAATCAAAGCACTCCTGATAGACAGCCTCTGGTGAAAAGCCTCCAGAGAAGGGCACTCCACCACACTCTTAGGCATCCTATGCCACTCTCCAACAATTCTCACTCTCGGGACGTTCTTCCTACTCTTTTCAGTTGAATTTCTTTCCCTGCCATTTGAAGCCATTGCTCCCTTGTGCCTTGGTCTCTAGAGCAGCAGAAACTCAATCCACCCCTCCCCAGTGGGACACCCTTTTAAATCTTGAAATATGGTTCTCATCATCCCTCTCTACCTTCTCTTCTCCCAGCAAAACATCCCCCAGGAAGAAAGAAGGAGGGAGGGAGGAAGAAGAGGAGGAAGAGAAGGATGAAAAGAAGCAAGGGTGGAAGGGTATGGAGGGAAGGAGGAAAGACAAAAGGAAAAGAAAGAAGGAAGGAAGGAAGGGAGAGAGGGAGGAAAGAGGGAAGGAAGGATGAAAGGGAAGGAGGGAGAGAGGGAGGGAAGAAAGGAAGGAAGGGAAGGGAAGGGAAGGGAAGGGAAGGGAAGGGAAGGAAAGGAAAGGAAAGGAAAGGAAAGGAAAGGAAAGGAAAGGAAAGGAAAGGAAAGGAAAGGATAGGATAGGATAGGATAGGATAGGATAGGATAGGATAGGATAGGATAGGATAGGATAAGATAAGATGGTGTGAGAGAAGAGGGCCTGAGAAAAAAGCCCAAATCCAACCCCCGGGCCTGGATTTGCTCATTATAATGGTCAATTTGCTTATTGACCATTATAATACAGTTCAAACTGTATGATATGAGAGTATAGATGGAGCCTCGGTCAAAGACTGCTCATGCCTCACCAAATTCCAGGATTGTAGAACATTGAGCCACAACAGTTAAAGGGGTGAAAAACTGCATTGATTCTGCAGTGTCGATGTGCCCTGAGTCTGCTGCAGCTCCTATAGCATTATTATTACACGATCCATATTCCCAGTTCTTAATGGCAACCACTCTTCCTAGTTCAAATTATATGGTATTTTAAAGACAACACTGAAAGCTTTTTCATTTATTTTACACAAAAACACAAGGTTCTACCCAATCTAGTTGGGCATATATAGGAAGGCTTTAGCCCTTCCCCACTCCCACTGGAGTCTCTCTTTCCCCCACCATTGTGATTTTCATTGCCAGGAAATTATTCATATGGCTTAAGCACCTATGCTAGAGCAAGATCTGTTACTGCTGCCATAATTAAGCCTCATACCACTCAGTGGAATGGCAAAATAGATTAGATCGGATTCCATGAAATTTTGGGTGTTGTTCACTTCACTTCAAAAAGAGTCAGTATTTGAATTGAATCTGCTAACACAATTCCACAAGGATGTTGGTTCTGGAGAAGGTGGAGAAGTGTGTTACTCATTGTAGACATCCTTGATAGTCTGGGCCTCAAAGTCTGCTGCAGATTTTCCTACTATAGCTTTCATTTCTCCAATATGTCTGTAAAGCCAGTTATATAAGGTGATGGGAAACAATAAATGTGTGCCTCATCATGGACAACTATAGTGTATATCTGCAGAAGCACCTCTCCATCTTTAGAAAAGAAAGCATTTCTTCAATTCTAAGATGCCATCAGTTCTAAGACACACACTAATTTCACTATCACAATGAGAGAGTAAAAGGGGTGTGTGTGTGTGTGTATCAAAAGCACCTGTGCTTATAGAGATGCTGATATGGGGAAAAGTGCATCTTCAAATTGAAAAATGGGATATTACCCACAGGCTAAGTAGCATGCACCCATGAATTCCTTCTCAATTACCTGAAAAAGATGGTAGAGTTGATGTAACTTTGAGCCTGTGAGGGTTTTCCTTGCCTTAAATCATCAGCCACCTGTTTTGGTAACATGCCTATATTGAATGGCAAACAAAGTTATTATTAGTATCATAAAATTCTGACTTGAACTCATTGTATTAAAAAGAACCACAAGAGCTTTCATGGGACAAAAAACTACTTAGCCAACATATCAATTCCTCCACTGACCTCTAAATGTAGACCAAGGAAAGGAAAAGTGTGGCTGCCCAGATTAGTGGTGGGATTAGTGGCTTTCCAAGGTTGGATCTACACTGCTCTATATCCCAGAATTTGACCCAGATTATCTGCTTATCCCAGATTATATAGCAGTGTAGATTCATATACTCCAATTTTATTTTTGTGTCAGGAGCTACTTAAGAAACTGCAAGTCACTTCTGGTGTAAGAAAATTGGCCGTCTGCAAGGATGCTGCCCAGGAGACACCCGGGTGTTTGATGTTTTATCATCCTTGTAGGAGGCTTCTCTCGTGCCCCCTAACGGGGAGCTGGAGATGACAGAAGGAGCTCAACCTGCTCTCCCCAGATTCAAACCTCTGACCTGCTGGCACAAGGGTTTAACCCAGGGGTCCCCAAACTAAGGCCCGGGGACCGGATACGGCCCTCCTAGATCATTTACCTGGCCCTCGCTCAGGGTCAACCTAAGTCTGAAATGACTTAAAAGCACACAACAACAACAACAACAATCCTATCTCATCAACCAAAAGCAGCCACACACTTCCCACTGAAATACTAATAAATTTATATTTCTTAAAATTGTTCTTCATTTTAATTATTATATTGTTTATAAGTGTTTTTGCACTACAAATAAGACATGTGCAGTGTGCATAGGAATTCATTCATGTTTTTTTCAAATTATAATCCAGCCCTCCAACAGTTTGAGGGACTGTGACCTGGCCCTCTGTTCAAAAAGTTTGAGGAACCCTGGTTTAACCCATTGCACCACCGGGGGCTCCATATAAACCAATTCAAAGTAGATAATCTGGGATCAGATTCTGGGAAATAGGGCAGTGTAGATTCATCCCTAGTGAATGAATGAATGAATGAATGAATGAATGAATGAATGAACTGGGTTGTTGTAGGTTTTTTGGGCTATATGGCTATGTTCTAGAAGCATGTTTCACCTACATCTATGGCAAACATTCTCAGAGACCTCACAACCTCTGAGGATGCTTGCCATAGATGCAGGTGAAATGTCAGGAGAGAATGCTTCTAGAACATGGCCATATAGCCCGAAAAACCTACAACAACCCGGTGATTCCAGCCATGGAAGCCTTTGACAATACAATGAATTAACTGTTTATTCTACCAGACACAGGACATGACATCAAATAATATGCAACCTTTAAAAGTACAATAAGCATTTTCCAATATGAACACTGAAACTTATTCTATATATTGGCTCTTTAAAGAATAACAAATTCCGATTTATATCACCCCAAACTATTTTCCATTTCCTAGTGTTATTGGAGTGTAATCCCATCATTCTTTACCACTGACTGTTCTGCTGAGATCTGCAGAAGTCCAATAACACCTGGAAAGTGGTTTAATTCCCACTTCAATGTAGCTATAGACCAGCCACGGGGAAACTTTAGCCCTCCAGGTGTTTTGGATTTCAACCCTCACAATTCCTAACAACTGGTAAGTTGCCTGGGATTTCTGGGAGTTGAAGTCCAGGGCCAAAGTTTGCCCATGCTTGGTTTAGACCAGTGGTTCTCAGTCTGTGGGTCCCCAGATATTTTGGCTTTCAACTCCCAGAAAAATCAGGTAGATTACTAGTTGCCAGGTATCCTAACAGCTGGTAAACTGGCTGGGATTTCTGATAGCTTTAGGCCAAAACACCTGGGGACCCACAGGTATAGACCAACCCTGTTGAATGCTGTAAGAACAGAAAGCCCCATTAACATAGTGATATAACATCTTATATGTTGCTCCTTTCAACAGATTGGAGTTATCCCCATTTAAAAGGCATGGTGCATCTGTTTGAGACACATTTTTGAGATCCTGGATAGCTCATTGTCTGAGCTACAAAAGTGTCAAGCTTTTCATACTATGGTTCATAAGATGAATGGTTTGACTCAATAGGATCCTGGCTTAATGGAGCTTCCAGATGGAAAGCTTCTCATGCTACCAGTCAAAATGAGTTCTTCTCTAATGCCTTTATCTTCTTAAATGCACCCCAAAAAAAGAAAGATAGATGTGATGTAAAAACATAGTCGGACTCCAGTGTGATAATATCTAGACCTCTGCAATGTTCTTTGAAAAAGGCAAGAAAAGAAAAACTTCTTGATTGAGTACCCCAATGTCTTGCATTATTTTTCAGGTACAAAAATTCAGGCAGATCTAGCCATTTTCAAGCTCCCAGCTGACTCATAGCCCTGTTAGGAAGCCATAAATGTTAAGATTCCAAAATAGAAATGCTTTATTCAAACAATTAATCCCTGTGTTATTTCCAATCTTTTAGACTGTGTTTTGATTGCATTTGTTTATTTTATTTTTATTAGAAGATTTGAAAAGCTATATTTCTGCTTTTATTCTTGGCTTCCAACCGTCTCCTACCTTGCCTTCTCCTTTTCCTATCCAAGGATTCATTAAACAACATCCAGTGGTGGCTTGTGGTTTTCAGGTCATTGGAATAACAATGGATAAGAGCTGTCCATGGTGCTGAGACCTAATCCCAAAGCCTCAGAATTTTGGATCTCTCCCCTAAATTTCAGCTTCAATATACCATTGGAATGATGAAGTAGATTTATCATCCTGATGTGAAAGCCACTAGCTACAATGGCATTATCCACTGATGCATGAATGATGATATCTTAGACCACTTAGAAAATAATATAGAGGGAATATGTTGACTCACCATATGTTTCTTAGGCATTTTTATTTCATACTAAAGAGGCAATCCTTGTTTCAGTCTAACATTTTAACATATGCTGTTTGCCTTGCAAGGAACAGAGGTAGAAATCTCAAAGCAGTGTGTGGGTTTTTCTTTTTATGTGCATATAGGTTTATTAAAGTAACCACTAGCCCTATTTATAACAAATACATCTGGAAGCTTTGGAAGCATCTTCTCACAATTGTAATTATGTGAAAATTAACATTGAAAGGGAGCCCCTGGTGTCACAATGGGTTAAACCCTTGTGCCAGCAGGACTGCTGACCAAAAGGTCGGTGGTTCGAATCCAAGGAGCGAGGTGAACTCCCTCTATCAGCTCCAGCTTCTCATGCAGGGACATGAGAGTAAGCCTCCTACAGGATGGTAAAACATCCAGGCATCCTCTGGGTAATGTCCTTGCAGATGGCCAATTCTCTCACACCAGAAGCGACTTGCAGTTTCTCAAGTCACTCCTGGCATGAAAAAAACAATTAAAGAACTAATAAACAAGAAAAGAGACCAACAACAAATCATCTTCTAGCAAAACAATGGATCAGTTTTTCACAATACTTTTTACTGATACTTACTATACAACAAACGGTCTGTCTTTTGCTTTTCATGCATTAAGTCTTGTGTCCTCTCTCCTACTAACACTTCCAGGTGTTTACTGTATTTCTCCATCTAAGCAAACAAAAAATGTATTCAGCATGAGTAACCTCTGAAGATCTTCTGTGTGGGAGGATAATCAACCATGCATTCACCAGCGGCAATCTCCCATTGCCATCAGATGTTTGCATAAAGGCTTGTGCGAAGATTTTACATCCCTATCCTCACAGGCCCTATACAAAGAAATGGAGTTTCTTTGAGATATCAAACAAAACCTCACTTGAAAAGTGGTCTGAAAGCACTGGCATAATGGCAGCTGATCAGCTACTATACACATTACACAACAGCCAGGTGCACACCGGTGTTTTCTACAGTGAATACATAATATGAAAGGAAGAATGTATCCTTAAATTTCAGGATATATAGTGGTAAGCAACAAAATATGATCTTCAAGATGGTGGTTGTAGTCTTTAAGATGCTATGGAACACTTTTGTTTATTCTAGCTTCCTTACTCCAAATGTTTCTCCCCAGAACTATCTGAAGCTGGGAATCACTTTTAAAATAGGCTGCAATGGTTCCCATTGTTTTTTAAAAAAATCATTTTAATAGGCTCTCAATATTTTTAAAAAACCTCCTCTATAAACCAGGCATATCAACCAGAATTTCCCAGAAGACATTACAGCGCTGTTTCACTATTGCCTCACCATAAGCTACTTCCAGTGGGACAATGAATTCTAAGAAAGGTGGAGTAGCTATGGGGGGGGGGGCAGTCATAGCAAAATTCTACATGGAACACTGAAAAACAAGCCCTGGAAACAGCAACAAAAAAGCCCACTATATGGTTCAGATATGTGGATGACCCCTTCACCATTTGGAGCCATGAAGAAGAACTAAACAGGTTCCTGGACCACCTTAACAGCATCCACCCTAACATCCAATTCACCACGGAAAAAGAAAATGAAGGAAAAATACCAAGATATTCCTATACATACATGTTCCTGTGGCATGTTTTCACAGATTGCAAACATAACTAATAAATATGGATTTGCTATAGCAGTCTCTGGTCTAATAAAGCAGCCACAGTTCTTACCAAAGTCATCATCATGTCCACTGGGCTCACTTTGTTTGGGTTCATCTTGTGCAACAGTTTCTTGATTTGCTCAAAGGTAAGCCTTTGTATTGGATTGCTCTTTTGACACTTTCTGATCAGCTACAAAAAAAAAGGATAAAGGAGAACAGGTCATCCCTTCCAATTCAAACAGTGACTGTCATATCAGTAGGTTAGTGAATTCTCTTTGGGTTTGGATCCAAACTTTCAAGGAATTGTCCAAGCCCCTGAACTTATTTGGGAGATAGCCCCTTTAAAAACATGCCTCTTAGGATGACAGATGTCATAAGGAAGAGTTAGCAGGCTTGTTTTCTTCTGCCCTGGAGATTTGGAGCAATGGGTTCAAATTACAGAAAAGGAGATTCCACTTGAACATTAGGAAGAACTTCCTGACTGTAAGAGCTGTTCAGCAGTGGAACTCTCTGCCTCAGAGTGTGGTGGAGGCTCCATCTTTGGAGGCTTTTAAACAGAGGCTGGATGACCATCTGTTGGGAGTGCTTTGTGTTTTTCCTATATGGCATGGGGATGGATTTTCCTATATGGCATGTGGTCTCTTCTAGCTTTATGATTCTAGAGGACAGGAAAGTGGATTAAAAGTCAGAATATTTGTTTGCATATCTATGTATATTCTTCAGGGCTAAAATAAGCTAAGGAATTTCATGAAATACACAAGGGAATACCCGAATCAACCCAAATTTTGATGTAGAGGTTTAGTTTTCAAATGCGGTGTGCTTGCATGGGTTAAATCCCCACTGGGTTCATCAGGACACATTTCTAAGTATGCATGCACAGGAGCACATTGCTGGTGCATTAGGTTATTTCTTCTTTCTGTCTACAGTTATGTAACATGATCCCTGCAGGCAATCTTCCCTCATTCTTCTCCATACTATAGAAGATTTTTTTAAAGTCTTTTTAAAAGTTATATTTTGGAAACAGGACAAATAAACAGTGAGACTAAGTTACCGACATGCTTGTGTGTTATGGCTGGCATCCTGTTAGGGATATATACACATGTAAGTTTCCTTATGCACATAAACTTTCTTGGGCAATGTGGGGTTGGTATTTCATGCCTACTTCCACAGTGCTTAAAGCCATCCCTTCCAATGTAACAAACAGTATCTGAAGCCCCCTGCACAGTCATTCCCTGCTTCATGGAGAATGGGCATAATTATAAAAGGACTCTGCTTAGCCAGATGTGAAAATGACAACTTTGGAGCTGAGTTTTGCTGGGATCTTCCAGGGGCCCCAGCACTGATACAGTAACATTATTTCTGATTACAGAGACATAGATAGTTCTTTTTCCCATCCTGACTGCTGCTCATGAAGCAGAGAATGTCCTTGCAAGGGACTTCAGGGATTCTTCGGAAAATTGGGAATACTATATAGCTCAGCGGTCCCTTGGTGGTGCAGCGAGTTAAACTGCTGAGCTGCTGAACTTGCTGACCGAAAAGTTGGCGATTCAAATCTGGGGAGCGGGGTAAGCTCCCACTGTTAGCCCTAGCTTCTGCCAACCTAGCAGTTCAAAAACATGCATATGTGAGTAGATCAATAGGTACTGCTTCTGTGGGAAGGTAATAGCACTCCATGCAGTCATGCTGGCCACATGACCTTGGAGGTGTCTATAGATAACGCCGGCTCATCAGCTTAGAAATAGAGATGAGCACCAACCCCCAGAGTCGGACAACTAGACTTAATGTCAGGGGAAATCTTTACCTTTTTATATACCTCAGCCTAATACAGGTCTGCATGAAGACCTACAGCACTGCACTGAGCGGTACAGGATTGCAGCCTAGTTCTGCTAATATTGTGCCTGTGCATTAGAAACCTTCTTATGGAAACAGTGATAGTTTCAATTCATGGATTTCACAAGAGGTATTTGATTAAAACATTTAGTACACATTTTCACATACAAGAACAAACAATTTGAGAAGTTTTTACTCCACTGGATGAAAGAGTTTGCAAAAGGTTTTAAAGCATTTGCCCAGTATATCCCTTATAGCAGCATTTCTCAACCTGAAAGTCAGCACTGCTGGGGGGGGGGGGGGGCACAAGGGGTTTCCTGATTGGTTGCCAAAGACCATCGGAAAACATATTTCTCATGGTCTTAGGAACTCCTTTGGCAGAGAAGGCCGACAATCTCCCCACCTGTCCTCTTCCTTATTTGAAACAGATGGCAAATCCTCCTAACAAAAGCCCTCCTCCGCTGTGATTGGCCAGCCTCTCAGCCAAGGGGAGGGCTGTTTCTGAGACTCCAAGGGGGGAGGGGGGAGCAGGCATGCTTGGCGCATGGCAGCATGATGTGCATGTATGGGCAAGGGAGGGCATGCAAGGCTGGAGGGAGGCTCATGCCAGTCAGTCCCTTCAAGGCATGGGGGTTCTGTGTGGGACGTTTGGCCCAATTCTATTGTTGGTGGGGTTCAGAATGCTCTTTGATTGTAAGTGAACTATAAATCCCCAAAACCACAACTCCCAAATGTCAATGTCTATTTTCCCCAAACTCCACCACTGTTTGGGCGTATTGAGTATTCATGCCAAGTTTGGTCCAGATCTATCATTGTTTGAGTCCACAGTGCTATATGGATGTAGGTGAACTACAACTCCAAAACTCAAGGTCAGTGCCCACCAAACTCTTCCAGTATTTTCTGTTGGTCATGGGAGTTTTGTGTGCCAAGCTTGGTTCAATTCTATCATTGGTGGAGTTCAGAATGCTCTTTGATTGAAGGTGAATCCTAGCAACCTCAACTCCTAAATGACAAAATCAATCCTCCCTCCCAACCCCACCAGCACTCAGATTTAGGCGTATTGGGTATTTATGACAAATTTGTTCCAGTAAATGAAAATACATCCTGCATACCAGATATTTACTTTATGATTCATAACGGTAGCAAAATTATAGTTAAGAAATAGCAATGAATATAATTTTATGGTTGGGGGTCACCACAACATGAGGAAATGCATTAAGTGTTCACGGCATTAGGAAGGTTGAGAAACACTGCCTTATAGGGACTTTTAAGAGTGGGGAAGCAATGCTGGAGGAGAAAATACTGAAGGAGTCTATTCATCCTACACTGTTTCCTTGATCTAAAATTGGACATAAGGACAGGAAGTTATTACCACTTCAGTGGGAAATAAGCCGATACAATATCTTGGAATGTTCAAACGAGTTACTTCTAGAGTAGCCTAAAAAATAATATCAGGATTGAAGCATTTTTTTTTATCTTGAAGACCAACGCTTTTTATAGAAGTTGTGTGCTACTTCAAATCAGCATTCAGTGATAAGGAAATGTTTTTATTCTTCTTTTAAAAAAATTCAGCCCTGACTTTCTGACATTTACCTTACAAATGCAAAAGCTAGAGTTTTACAAAACTCTTAAATACAATCATGGAACTGGCAGTTTATAACCAGGGGAAGCTATAAACCTCCAGTGGCTGCATATTAAAAGCATCATTTACTCCATTCTGTGATTCTGAGACAAGCTGAAATTTCCATTTACCAGAGTAATACTGTTTTTAAAGGAGATAAAGGCCACCCATTGTTCTGGAAAGAGGAATGGTGAATGTATCTTTATTGGGGTTGTTTTTTTTTTAAATGGCAAAATAAAACTTTTTCTTCCTTCATAGGGAACATGCTTTGAAATCGAATGTATTAGGACTGTCAGCTTTCCCATCCCCCAAATCATAGGCCTCATAACTTTTTTAGCAGCTTCAACTGCAGATATTTGCAAATGAGAACTGAAATCCTATTGGAGAATAATGCAAGAATTAGAATTATGCAGCTAGTTACATAATGTCCATATCTAGCAGAGGGCTGCTATTATCCTACTATGTAGTTAAGCCAGCAAAGTACCTGAAATGCATCTGGGTGCCCAATGCACAATGGGACCAATGCACATTGAAATCTATGTAAATCAGTTGATGCACACCATAGAATCATAGAGTTGGAAGATACCTTGTGGACCACTACACTCTGGGGCAGAGAGTTCCACTGATGAACAGTTCTCACAGTTAGGAAGTTAATCCTAATTTTCAGATGGAATATCCTTTCCTGTAGTTTGAAGCCATTGTTCCATTGCATCCTAGTCTCCAGGGCAGCAGAAAACAAGCTTACTCCCTCCTCCCTATGACTTCCCCTCACGTATTTATACATGGCTATCATGTCTCCTCTTGTTCTTCTCTCCTGCAGGCTAAGCATGGGCAGCTCTTTAAGCTGATCCTCATAGGGCTTGATCTCCAGCCCCTTGATCATTTTAGTCGCTCTCCTCTGGACACATTCCAGCTTGTCAACATCTTCCTTAATTTGTGGTGCCCAGAATTGACACAGAATCCCAAGTGTGATCTGACCAAGGCAGAATAGAGGGATAGCATGGCTTCCTTGAATCTAGACACTAGACTCCTATTTATGCAGGCCAAAATCTCACTGGGTTTTTTGGTTCGGATGCATCTTGCATTGCCCCTGGTCCACATTAGGCAACAATGCACGTCAGACACTCTTGCTGGTGTCCTATCATACCATTCAGTAAAAGGTTCTCTTAGTGCCTCTGCTAAGTAGATAGGGAGGCATACATAAAGTTACAGGTCATATTGGATTCCAGTGGAGAATTTTTATTTCAACAACTGTATGGAAAATTCTATTGGTACCTTAATATTTACAGAGATAATTTACTCACAAAGAAGGCTTGGAAGTATGTTAAAATTAGCATTACCTCTATATATTCTGTGGGGCACGGGCAGCCATTCTCAGATTTGTCTGATATTAATTCTGACAAAGGTGGGCATAAAGAGTGTTCTTCTGAATGTGTATCATCTCTCTGGAATACATAGATAATGTCATTTTTAATTTGAGACAGATTAGTGTGCAACCATGGGACAGCCATTTTAAACAAATACACACACACACACACATATGGAGTTTGATGCCATCTATACGCAGATGACATCCAACTCTATCACTCCTTTCCACCTGCTACAGGTTCCTAACCAGTGCTTGGCAGCTGTGACAGACTGGATGAGGGCAAACAAATTGAAGATGAATCCAAACAAGACAGAGATACTCCTGGTCAGTTACACAGCCAAATAGGATATAGGGATAGAACCTGTGTTGGATGGGGTTACACTCCCCCTGAAGGCGCAGATTCACAGCTTGGGAGTTCTCATCACTGACTCTAGAACCCCACGTCTTGGTGGTGGCCAAGGGGGGCTTTTGCACAATTAAAACCTAGGCACCAGTTGCACCTGTACCTTGGGAAGTCAGACTTGGCCATGGTGGTCTATGCACTGGTTACATCTCGTATAGACTACTGCAATGCACTCTATGTGCGGTTGCCTTTGAAGACTGTTCAGAATCTTCAACTAGTTCAACATGCAGCAGCCATATTTCTAACATGAGTGGCATACAGGGAGCACACAATCCCCCATTGCACCAGCTCCACTGGCTGCTGGTTTGCTACTGATCACAATTCAAAGTGCTGGCTTTGGCCTATAAAGCCCTGAATGGCCCCAGCCCAACTTACCTGTCCAAAACGCCTCTCCCTCTATGAACCATCATGGAGGTTAAAATCATCTGAGGAGGCCCTGCTCTCGGTCCCACTGCATTCATAAGTGTGATTGATTGGGATGAGAGACAGGGCCTTCCCAGTGGTGGCCCCTTGGCTGTGGAACTCACTCCCTAGTGGGATTTGATCAGTCCCTTCCTTCCTGTCATTTCACAAGTGAAAACTTAGCTTTGGGAGCAAGCATTTGGCCCAGCACAATTATCTGTGCAATATAGTTAGAACTGACCCTGGGCTGATGAATATGATTATTTGATTATCTGGCTTTGGAGCGATGCACAATAGTCATCTAATGTTTACATATGTTGTTTTAATGTGTTTAATTGTTGTTGTTTTGGGCATGGAATAATACCTTTATGTAAACTGGCCTGAGTCCCCTTTGGGGTGAGAAGGGAGGGATATAAATGTCAAAATAAATAAATAAATAAACATGTTTCCTCCTATGAACCACCTCAGAGATTAAGATCATCCGGGGAGGCCCTGCTCTCGGTCCCGCCTCTTTTGCAGGTGCGACTAGTGCGGACAAGAGACAGGGCCTCCTCAGTGGTGGCCCCTTGGCTGTGGAACCCTCTCCCCAGTGATATTAGAGCAGCTCCCTCCCTCCTGGTCTTCATAAGGGAAGAGAAAACCTGGGTCTGGGGTCAAGCCTTTGGAGATTAACTACAGTGCAATAATAGCTACGGAATTATGTGCAATGACTTTTGGAATGGCCCCAGATTATGATTCTGGATGGCGTGATTTTTAATAGTGATTGTAATGTTTTATATGTCTTTAATGTGCATTTAATTTTAATTTTAAATCTTTAACTTAATGTATTTTAACTGTTTGTTGTTCAAAGGCATTTAATAGTTGCAGCCTTGAGTCCCCTTTGGGATAGAGAAAGGTGGAATACAAATAGAGTAAATTTCACATACAGAGAGAGAGAGAGGGAGAGGGAGAGAGAGAGAGAGAAGTCACTTTCCTAAATCTAATTCTTAGTCCCAGCTAAAGTGACACAATACATCAATAGAGCTGACATGAATGTTGAATTACCAAGTTCTCTTTGATTTAATGTGGCTGCTCTAACAGAGTTGTCATTGGAGTTATTATATTTCAAATTATTTTCTCTTTCCATCTATGTATAGAAAGATATAATAGATCGTATGCCTTTGGCAGGACCCACTGGTTTTGGTTGTACTGTATGCATATTTGATGGCACTAGATAAATAAATTATGGTGATGAAACAACAACAACAAGATCAGCAGCAATAAAACACAGCATACTTTCAGAAGAATATCATTATGATTTGCCAGTTTTAACACCAAAAACATTAGTTTAAGTAGGAGAATTGTCACTTTCCTCAGCTATCTCTATGGAGATAATCTATTGGACACTTTCTTGTCTAATAAAGCAGTTTTTCAGTTCAGTTTTCTGGGATTGACTATTTTCTGACAGCTGTTGTGCAGATTCAAAAAACCTTTCATTCTCTCTTCCCTCAACATCATCCACCTATATTTTACTGGATGAAAAGACAGAAAATTGAGGAAACGTTATGGTGGGGACAAATGTCTCCATCTTGTATTTTTGCCAATGGGGAAGATATGTGACTGTTGAAGGGATGCAAGAGGGTAGTACAGTCTCCAAAACCATGAGTTTTCTAACTCTTGAGTAAACAAATAACATAACAGTATCTAAAAGGCTTGGATGAAATAAACGCTACATTGCACAATTTGACCTTCATTACCTTTTTAAGTTAGATATGTACAGCTATTTTATGAAGAAACAGCCGTTAACATGCACATTTTATTTTAATTCTCCATATGTAATCCCAGAATGTACTTCAATTCTCTGGCATTGTGATTTGTTAATCAGATTCAGACTTCTGCATCACTTCCTTTTCTAAAAAGTACTCTTCTGGACCTAAAGCGATCTGGGGGAAGGGCAAAGATAAAGCGAATTTGGGAGCAGAAGGGGTCGTGGGATACTTTTTTTAGGGGATTCCTATGGAGCTCGCAACCTTCCAGCCTCTGAGATTTGCCCAGCCCTGATGGATAATAGACTGCAATGGCGTGGTCCTGCATCTTGCAAAGTTTAGGCAGAAAACAAATTATGCTTCATTTACATAATAGATTGACAGAAACATAGATGGATCATTTCATCCTGGGCATGTGTTTCTGAAGCCAATTTCCTCCAGCCTGTGGTGGAAAAAAACCCAAACTTCAAACCTGCAGTGCCATAAACAATCCAGAGGTTGTAAAACCTATTGTTCAAGATGGTAAGGTGATAGTTCTCAGTACTTTAGCATAAAAATATAACTTCCCCATCTCTGGTTTGCTCATTTGCTTATTGTGGGCAGAAAGCTGGGCTTAGCACAGCAGGCTAAACTGCTGTGCTGCAGAAAAATCCTGCTGATCAGAAGGTCAGCAGTTTGAGCCCCGGCGGAGTGAGCCTCCATCATTAGCCCCAGCTCACCTGTCCACCAAACCATTGCCATCTTGAACCTCATTGAGATCATTCCCCACATCCAAAGCACCTTGATCTTGAAACACAATCACAGGCTGAACTCCAACACTCAGCTTGGAAGATGAAGGAATAGCATCCCCCTCCCTCAGAGTCAAGCACAGCTTCCAATATGCTAGAAACAAGATGGGAAAACCTGTCTTTACCTCTGTGTTGTCCTTGCTAACTTTATTGTATAATCAGCATTAAATATTTGCCATATGTGTGTTCTGTAAGCCACCCTGAGTCCCCTTCGGGGTGAGAAGGGTGGGGTATAAATACTGTAAATAAATAAATAAAGCCAAGAAAATAGCTGCCAGAATTCCCCTAGTTGTGTTTGATCAGCCCAATGTCCAAGCAAGATTTGACCATGGCTTTCAATGGGTGCAAACTCAAAAAGTAGTCCTCATACTTCTTACCAGAGCTGGATCACTTCTTGTTGCTATTTCCAGCAAAATGATGGCATAGCTGCAAAATGGAAAGCAAACCACTGTCAGTAAAACAGGTACAAATAGACTAAAGGAAAGGGTGTCAACTTCCAAAAAAATGCCATATACAAGTGACCTGAGCTAGTTAAACTTAAAGGCTAATTGAAATTAATAGAACTTTGGCTGAAATCCCATCACTTTCAATGGAATTTAGTCACAGCCTGCTATTAGGTGGGCTGGAGCCAGTGTTTTTAATGTCACAGAGGAACTGGTTAATGAAAAATAGTTATTGAGAAGAAAAAATTACAGCTTTGACTGGTATAAATATTATGCTATCCTCCTACTCATAATCATGTCAACCTGCTTATTATTGGACCCAGTTATTATAAGCTGTTCTGTTTTCATGGCCTGACTAGGATGGCAAAGAGACATTGAGTTTCAACAGAGGAATATATATCTCTGCTGCATCACAAAACCTATAGAAATGGCCTGATTTATAAGCAAGTGTTTTTTGTAATCTGATAATTGCCATGATCTTTACAAATATATGAAAGTGAGAATTAGCTTTTGCACTGATAAAATGGCACGAAACATTGGAGTTCTGGTCTGGCAACATCCGGATTGTCTAGCTCAGGCCTAAACTGTGAGTTTTCTGGACTGTATGGCCATGTTCCAGAAGCATTCTCTCCTGATGTTTTGCACACATCTATGGCAGGCATCCTCAGAGGTTGTGAGGTCTCTGAAGATGCCTGCCATAGATGTGGGAGAAATGTCAGGAGAGAATGCTTCTGGAACATGGCCATACAGCCCAGAAAACTCACAGCATCCCAGTGCTTCTGGCCATGAAAGCCTTTGTTAACATATTAATACTCATGTTCACAAACACAAAAGAGACATTTTAGGCATGTGGAAAGAACACATACCAAACTATTAATAGAGAACAGGCAACACAAAATAATAATAATAATAATAATAATAACAACAACAACAATAAAAATAACACTTCATATATATTCTGCCCTATCTTCCTAAGTGGACTCAGGGCAGATCACAGTCCACATACACAGCAAACATTTGATGCCATTTTGGATGGACAGAACAGAGACAGACAGAACAGAAAGGAGGTATGTTGTGTCGATGTCCAGCTTTTTGGCAGCTTGGAGGTTGTGCTTTAATCCAGCCACATGGGTGTGCTGTCACTCCATCCTCTATGATGAAGAGCCATCAGGACTTCCTTTTGGTCACCAGGCAGTTTCTGATTTTTTTTCTTTATGGTGTTGGAAATACCTCCCCCACTTCTTTAGCAGTACCTAATCTCTCCTTACAGCTCAAGCTGTTTTTAAACTGCTTATGTAAACAGTGGGCTGATAGTTGGGTGCTCATGTCAACCCAGGGCTTCAAACTGGCAAACTTTCGATTGGTAGATCTTATAATTGTTAGTGATTTAACAAAGCCCTGCCTAATACTGGCTACTAGTAAAGTGATACATCTATTCCAATTTTTAATCTAAATTTTAAAGAAATTATTCAAGGTGCTCAAACCTAGTCCCTAAAGCAATTCAGCACCTTGGGATGGCTCCCACTGGGGATTCTACCTTGGGTTTTAGACAAGCTTTAAAAGAGGTGTCCACAGTCCTGAATGTATTATTTGAGAAATAGTTTATTTAATGTCTGGACTAAATCCCCGGATGGATTCATCAACACATTAACATGGAAGCCACCAAGCACAACTGTAGAATGAAATATTCCATGCTCTAAGTCAGTGCTTCTCAACCTTGGGTCCCCAGATGTTTTTGGCCTACAACTCCCAGAAATCCCAGGCAGTTTACCAGCTGTTAGGATTTCTGGGAATTGTAGGCCAAAAACATCTGGGGACCCCAGGTTGAGAACCACTGCTCTAAGTGAACTCTGACCTGAGATGCTCCACAAACAGTTTTCTTACATGTTACATTTGTCCAAGAATTTTTTCATATATGTAAGGTATCACAAGGGCCCCTGGTGACACAGCGGGTTAAACCACTGAGCTGTTAAACTTGCTGACTGAAGGGTTGGTGGATCGAATCCAGGGAGCAGAGTGAGCTCCCACTGTTTGGCCCAGCTTCTGCCAAACTAGCAGTTCAAAAACATGCAAATGTGAGAAGGTGAATAGGTATTTCTCTGGCAGGAAAAAAACGGTGCTCCATGCAGACATGCTGGCCACATGACCTTGGAGGTATCTATAGACAACGCCAGCTCTTCGGCCTAGAAATGGAGATGAGCACCAACCCCCAGAGATTAACATGACTAGACTTAAAGTCAGGGGAAACCTTTACCTTTACCTTAGGGTATCTCATGTTGACAGGTCTGTATACTCAAAAGAGCAAACTGCACAAATATACCAAAGCTGCAAAAGCAACAGCATTTCCAGTAATGTAAAAGTGACCATTCATGATTATATAATTATATAACAGTCTTTAGTGCAATAAAACATAAAAGTGTGGAACGATTTGCCATAATCACCTGTACACATCTGCAGCTGAAGTTGGTTCAAAGTTTGGTACAGACAGAGCTTCAGGAGGCAGATATATTTGCCTGCAATACTGATGAGAGATGTTGGAGTCCATCAAAGCATCTTCTTTTTTGTAGGACTGTAAGCCATAGTCTGCCAGAAAGTGAAGGAAGGGAAGAAGGAGACAAGACATTTTCCTCTCAGTTTTGCCTTATCCCCTGAAACATTTGTATTGTATTGTATTGAACCTTGAGTCACTGGAGAGGTAAAGCAATACAATACAATCTCAACAGATTCACTCTAGAACTTAAATGGGTTCTCCAAACCTCAGGAAAGTTTGAATATGAACATGTGAGTCAATATCCAGCACATTTGTCAGAATCAGCATTTAACATCAATGTGTTCTGCAGGATCCCATCTATGATAGCTTTGAAGTATGAAAGACAGTAACATTCAGAGACATGCTACTTGCTTAATGTAATGTTTAGTTTAGCCCTTGACATCAACATTTGCTGATGGACATGAACTCATTTGGAACTAACTTTGTTTACCCTTGCCATATAGCCAGATCTGATTGGCTGCATGATGCTAGTATGAGGATTAAAAAATGTACAGTTTCTTTATTCCAAATGAAAATGAGGCAAAAACTGCCATGGATCACAGCTGCAGAAAAACTCATAAATTCCCACTCCAGAAATATGGAGATGTCTGGCAAGCCATGGACTGTCAAATGTGTGTGGAAGGGGCAACCCAAAGCCTCCTGAAATAGTATGCTAATTTTATGCAAATCTGTATTCTCTTTTGTCCTTTTAAAGGTGAGATGTATTTATTCTAATGTGGCCACTTTATCATCATATCATATTAAGATATATATTATCCCTCAGCTTCATTCCTCCACATTGGCAACAGAGAGATAATTATAATTATCTTACCCTGTGTCAGGGTTATGAGGATTATTAGAGCCTGGAAAGCATTTTGAATACTCTCAAGACCAATGCAAACATGAAGCGATATCCACCCACGGAGGATCTACTAGTCTGTTCCCTTGGTGCACCCACAGTTGGATGTGCCAAGTATTTTAAAAATTGTTTTACAGTCAGTGCTCACAAAACAGCTGTGAGTAATAATGAAAAAACTTCCTATAAATACAAGATAATATGTACATTTACTGTGAAATATGTTTTAACACCCTAGCAAATATTACCAGTGGCTGTTTGTTGCTAAGGTATCTTACTTGAGCCATTTGATCTTATCCATGTAATTTTACAACACTTCATAATTTGCAGGAAATGCCATAATAATGATGCAGGAGGAGAGGATGAGAATACAAACGATGATGGCAACAATGATAGCAACAACGATAATAAGTATTACAGCAGTATCAAAATAAGCATCTAGGAAAACATCTTCATGTTACTGTTTCCATTGCATTTGATTAAATTGCTTCATCTTTTTTTCTCCCTCCATACCTGCAATCTTACAAACCCAACGATCATCAATGACACAGTTTGTAGATTTCAACCGTCCATGATAAATCCTATGCTGGTGAAGATAAGCCATCCCTTGGGCAATATCAGTGGCAAAAGAAAACCTAGGAGGTGGGGACAGATGATGATGGTTAATGACAGATAAAAGTATTAAATATTGATTTTTTTCCAGTGCCATGTTCCTGAACAGGGATTATTTATTTATTTATCATTACCATCATATTGTATTACAAAGGTCCCTAAGCTACAAACCTTTACAGGGAAAATATGTGGTTGAAATTACCTATGTCTTCCCTGAAATATCCTGATGTGAGTACCACTGTGTGACTTAGAGGTCAACCTCAGTAAGTTCAATGGGATTTGCAATTCAGGGAATACAAGGTAGTAGAGCTGGTCAAATAAAATGCTTGGCATTATATCATACTCTACACTGCATAAAGTTAAAGGGATCCAGGAAAAGTCAGATGACATTTTCTGAGCAAAACTGAGCATTATTAAAATTATTTTGGTAGACATGGATCATACTGTAGTAAAGGTAAAGGTAAAGGTAAAGGTTTCCCCTTGACATTAAGTCTAGTTGTTTTCAACTCTGGGGAGCGGTGCTCATCTCCATTTCTAAGCCGAAGAGCTGGCATTGTCTGTAGACAGGCCCGGGGAGGGGGGGGCTAAGTTTGGTTTGGGGAGGGCTGAGTCTGAGTGAAAGAGAGTGTACCCTAGCAAACCTTTTGTATCGTTACCCCAATACCCCCATGCATATGGGATATATTGAGCATGGTGATCAGATCATGATATGAATAAACATAACAGTTTAAATAAAGTACCAGTAAGGCCTTCTCGCGGACCACCATGAGAATTTGGGGGGGGGGGGTGAACCCCCCCAAGCCCCCCCCCCCGGCTACATGCCTGTCTGTAGATACCTCCAAGGTCATGTGGCCAGCATGACTGCATGGAGTGTAGAAGCAGTACCTATTGATCTACTCAAATTGAACTCCAACCTGATTTCTGGAAACTTTTTTGTAGTCCAAAAAACTAACAATCCCAGTTCTCCTATTCACCGGTGTAAGGGAGAGGGTTGGAACAAAGAGGAAGAGAATCCCAAGGGTGGCTTTGTAGCAATTGGCAGGGATTGTCCACGGATCTCCCCTCCTGCCACAGTAAACATTACCATTGGGACACAGGGAAGAGGAAATAAACATTCCCTGCCATGTATATTTTTGGACTTTATGTCACTCAGAGTAATGTAAAACTGTTGTTCGATAATCCTATATGCATTTTTACCACCCAAAAAACTCTCACATATATTTGATTGCAGATCAGTCTGATGTCTATCACCCACTCCTAAAAGACGATTTCAGGAGCTGCATCATGCTGCAATTTCATCTATCTAATGATGTTTCACGGTAATTAAGATCCCACATTCTATCAAAAATGCCATCTGGTGAAATGATAATATGCATCTTCTCATCTGTTTGAAAGTCAGTGAAGATTTGTGTTTCTTTTTAAAAATGATATTATGGATATATTTTTCCCATTACTGTTTGCCCTGAAACAGCTACCAGTAAGAAACACCTTTTTGTTAATTTCTGTTACTGTTCTTGCTACTTTTTTGTTGTTTTCAACTACTGAGTTTATTTTAAAAATAGGTCATCTACCTAGGCCGTGTCTACACAGTCAAAACAAAGTGACCTCACCACTATACCACTACACAGCACACAACTGGATTTGCAGCAAAAGAGCTGCACCCAGTCATTAATGCAGGTCAAGATTTACTCTGGAGCTCCCAAGAAGTTCTGGTGTGATTCCAGAGTTTCAGAGATATGGACAGCTGGATCAGGCTGAATCTATCCTGACCCATTGGTCATACCTCCAACTGACTTTCTAGAGGCTTGCTGATGACATTGCATTTCTGGTGATGTCTTACACCAGTCATGTGATCAGAAATGTGTCATCACCAACAAGACTCTGAGAGGGAGCTGACTGCTGGTAGTGACTCAATGGTAGTAATCCAAATGTGCTCTCAGTCTGGCCACCCATGTGAATGGTCAAAGGGCTCTGAGTACACTCCCAGGATGCATTGGAGAAGCCCCAAAGTTCTTTAATCTGGCTTATTTGGGTACAGCCTTAGCCAGTAGTTACACTGAACAATAGAGGCTCATTCTGCTTGTGACTAGGTTGCAGCTCAATGACATATCCAGCCTCTTCCCTCACCGTGAACCATCCAAAGCAGGACCTAACTTGCAATTCCTTGTTGCAGCATTGCATACTGGTGGGAGTCGATCCTACTGTGCCCCCATCTGGCTGTTAGTTGTTAAGGCAAGATTGGTGGCTGCTTTTAAGGTTGTGTCAATAATAATAATAATAATAATAATAATTATTATTATTATTATTATTATTATTATTTATACCCCGCCTTCATCTCCCCTAAGGGGACTCGGGGCAGCTTACATAAGGCAACGCCCATCAATACAGTAAAACACAATATAAACACACACAAAAATCAGAAAATAAACAACATAAAATGCAAAACCCATATAAGTAAACGACACAGCAGCATAAAATCAAACATTAAACCACAAATAATAGTGTTACCATCATGACTAGTCAACTCAGAGCACTTACAGAACTGCAATTCTAGGTCACTGCTTCTTAAACTGAGGGTCCTGATCCCAAATGAAGTCCCCTGAGCTCAATGTTGGGGTCGCAAAAATTTGGCCACAGCAAAATGTTTCTGAACACCACCTAGCGATGGTTTTAGACATTATGTTAATCTGTTAACAACAAATTACAGTGTTTACAGTGGACTCCACAGAAAATGCTTCAGCTGTACTTTGTAAAAAGGAGAAATCAGCTCTTTTAGCAAGCTTTGGAATTATAATCAGCAAATGTTTGAATGTGTACCAATATTATATACATACTAGCCATCCCCTACCACAAGTTGCTGTGGCCCAGTCTGTGTATATGTGTTTTGTGTGTATATATGTGTGTATATGTGTGTGTATATATGTGTGTTTGCGTGTATATATGTGGTTTTGCGCATGTGTTGTAATGTAATTTTTTGGCTTTTAAAGTTCCTTCCACTGTGTTTTCCAGTGTTTTTATGAGTGATGGTTACTCGTTGGACTGATAGGTGTATTGTGTCCAAATTTGGTGTTAATTCATCCAGTGGTTTTTGAGTTATGTTAATCCCACAAACAAACATTACATTTTTATTTATATACATATACCTGGGGTCACATAACATTTCTCAGATGGAAAGGGATTGTGAATGGAAAAAGTTGAAAAAAGGTTACAAATTAATAACTTCAATCCAGGATGCCAGCCATAATCTATAATATAGTAATGCTCTGAACACTTTATACCTTTTCTTAGTTTCTCTTTAGTGGATATGTAATAGAAGTAACTGATATCAGTCTGATTCTGGGGGAGAGGCGAAGTAGAAATGTATTTACTGACATAAGCAAAATCCTGACAATTTTCCTTAAAATTTGTTTTTTTCACATATTAAATATAATATTTTCTTTAGTTGCTAGAACAGAGATCTCTATGGCATCGGGCCTAAATGTTTGCAAGCTAACTGACAGTCTAGTTAATTAATTAATTAATTGCTTCATTTGTCTTCTCTACCCTTTTTCAGGATGTTTATATAGCACTAATACAATCTGTTAAGAAACAATAACATTGAAACAAATTGGCAAAATGGAAAATAAGCAAGAATAGCAACTGTCAACAACCTGGAAAAAGATCCCGACAGTGAGATTTTATCACAGGTCAGACAAAGCAAAAAGAGTTTTAAGATCCGTTTATATATTATGGAGGACAATACATATGTCACGAGAAAGGGAATTAAGAAGTGTAAACCACAATTGAAAGCTCACTTCCTCTGGTACAACTACTGTAGTTCTTCTTTATAATGGACTACAGATCAGGCCTTAGAAATGCTGAACTGGTCAGTTTTTGTTAATTGCCAGGCATCTTTGCTACATCACAAAATGAAGGAGAAAGGAGATGATAGAACTAGCCTGTGTGAGCAGCAGCCTGTTCACTCTGGAACTGTTTACTTTGGAACTCAGGCACCTTCTACACTGCCATATAATTCAGATTATCTAAACAGATACATTATCTGCTTTGAACTGGATTATATGAGTTTACACTGTCATATAATCCAGTTCAAAATGATAATCTGGATTTTATATGGCAGTGTAGAAGGGGCCTTAGCCCAAATTATGAGGCTACTCCAGGGTTTTGGCAAGTTGCTCAGCCTGGTTTGCCCCATATTAATGAGCAGCGGTGCCTGGACATTCTGGTCCATTTTGCATTGTAGGGCTGGTGTGGAGAAGTTCTACGACTTCCCCAAGTCACTCACTGTATTTCCACAGCTAAGTGGGGATTTAATATTTGTTCTTCCAGTACTCTAGCCCAACAGATATCATTATATGCTGCAGGCTTTCATCGAGAGTTAGCCATGGGATGAAGCCTCACACTGATGTCCACTTTTGTCATCTTTCTCTCACCTGAAACCCCAGTTTAAAGGAATGTCTTCATTGAGCAGCACATCATTCAAACTTCCTTTAGGGCAGTATTCAGTTATTATGGCAATATTTGGGATCTCAATGCAACCTCCTATGAATTTGCAGAGGTTGGGATGATCTAATTCTCTGTGAAAACAAAGGCAAGAATCAGATCTTAGTAAAGAAGTCAATACAGTGTTCAAATTGTATCAAGAACCATATTTCTAGGAATGCAACATTTTTTAAACATTTCCCCAGTGAACAGAAAGATTTTTCTCGAGCTTGATAATAGGAATTAGATCTCTGAACAATTTAGCAAACTATAAACACTTGATTCTGTGGTGAAGGAAGAGTCAAAGGAAGTTGGCATAGCAACCATCAGTATTTTTTCCAGAGCTTGGAGAAATTATCTGTTTTGGTAGCTGGTAGAGGAATACATATAAATGTAGTCCAAAAATGAATATTCCCAAATGTTGTATCATCTTCCCCACTTTCAGGTCAAATTCCATGCTCCACATGTGCACTAATATAGCACTAGAGAATTCAACAAATTGGTGGTAAGTGACAAAATTATGGGTTGAAGTTGAAGGAAAAAACCTGGAATCAGAGAGTTAGGGCAAGAAAATATTTTATTGTTGCCAATGACAGAGAGACAATTTCATACAGAACACTTTCCCATAAAAATCTATTAACAACGAAAGGGAAACCAGACTCACAAATTTCAACTATCTCTTTGTTTTTCTGACTGTCTATCATGGGGGCACTTGATTTTTAGTACAATAAATCAGGAACCAGTATCACACTAGTGACTATTAGTCTTTTACAATTATTTCTTTACCGCCTAGAAACTTGCTGGGGGCTGGCAGATATACAGATATCCACGTTGAGGAGCAAAGCTGCACATGGTCTTAGATAAAATTCAGTATGTGCCATGTAATTTTTAGAAAGAATATAGAAAGAATAAACATCTTTAGATGCTTTTTCTTTCTCCTATTCTGTATGCCACTAATCCACTTAATAAAAGTTTTTTAAAAGTTTTTTTAAAACTTTGTGTTTTTAAATACAATACAACTGTACCCTCCATTCGTTACTGACACAATAAATAATAAATACTTAATAAAAACTTTTACCAAAAAAAAAAGAAAGAAAAAGTAAGATAGGTTCTGGAGGTTTGTTTTCTAGTTGAATTTGTATGGAAATCAGAATAGGTACTGTGACGGCACACCAGGAACATCTATTAAGAAACCTAAATGTGTCTGGCTATTTTCCCAGTGACCATCGGTATGCCCTAATTACTATAATTCCCCCAAAATAAAACTCTACAAACAAGATTATGTTTAACAATTGTTTACTAAATAATCAAGGTGAATTACAACAATGTACAAAGGTGTGAATCTGGGGTAAAAAACAACTATAATTTCTATGAGGTAAATACTCTATAAACTCTGGGGTATGTACTATCTAAACTATCTATCTATAACTATCTATCTATAGGGCAAATACAAACTATCTATCTATAAACTCTAAGGCAAATACGTGATTAGGATGGCCTGTTCAAATTGCTAGGCCAGACCAGACACTATCTGGCAACTATCTATAAGCTAAGACTAACAAAGAATGGGAAACGAAGTTCTATAACCAGCCCATTCTGGCTCCAAGTCAGAATGGGCTGCACCAACCGAACTCGGCCTCTAGGGGGAACCTAAGCTCTCCCTTAAACTTGGTAAAATGGAACAGTCCAACTGAGAAATAAACAGGCCGAGACATCACAGGTACTTTTTTATGCCAATCTTTTTTTAGTTTTTGATAGCATAGGAATGACTTAGCGTCCCTGTAACATTTGTTATGCAAGTTCAGAAGATTTCACCTAACTTTCTGTCCTTGTGACAGCTGGATTTTGGAAAAAAATGGCTTCACTTGGAAGCAAGGATTGGTGATAAAGCTTCACTAGGCATCATATATAAATCGGATGTTTGTAACTCAGGGACTGTCTGTATTCCTACCAAATAATAACGGATAGTATGAGAGAGCAGCTCACTCAGGTTCAAAGACCACACATTCTGTGTTCACATGAAGGTCTGTATCTGGAAAACAAATGTCATCTCTTACCTCACTTGTTTAACTTCTTTACGTATTGTCTTGGTGAGAGCAAATGTTTTGTTCATTATTTTTTTGATGGCTACAGTTTTACCATCACTGGAAGAAAACAAGTTACATTAACTAACTATTCAAAGTGGCTCACAAAATAAGAAACTGGAGGAATAAAAATATATTTAATTAAAACAACATAAAGCATATAATTCATATCCATGTATTAGTGCATAGAATGATAAAATTGACCCCCAAAATTGACTTGGCAGCCCCAAAGGATATCAAGTCTACCCTAGCCCTCAAAACTGCAGCTAGATTATTCCCTGCAGGTAGATGGGACTCTCCTTGAAGATGTCCAGAGAAAGAGACCTTTTTATCTCTCTAGCTAATTGCTAGATCTCTAGGTCCCATTGCTCAATTGCTCCTACCATCAAGTTGTTTCTTCTAGAATTCATTTCATATCTATCAGCCTGCAATTTCAAAAGATTAGGCCTGGACATACCTTCTGGAACAGCATAAAATAAACCTCATCCCTTTAGATATTCAAAGAGTGCAATTATGTCACTCCTAAGTCTTCTCTTCACCAAGCAGAACATACACAGTGCACTCAACCTTTTTAAATAAGTCTTGTTCTCCATATTTCTTATCATCCTTGTTGTCCGTATCTGAACCTGTTCCAATTTGTCCACATCCTTCTTAAAATGAAGCTTCCAGAATTAAAAGTGTGGTCTGAGTAGAGCATGTAAAACATAGTAGGACTACTACTTTCCTTGATTTGGAAACTAGTAATGAAGGCTAACTTCATGCCTTCCAGAGTCCACATTCATCCACCCTTGTGAATTATGCTGCTGTTCTGGCTATGCCTAGAATTCAACTATTATAGCCAGGAAGTTAGGACTTTATTGCATGAAGATGGCAAACCAGTATAGAAGCAGGAGCATTATGTTTGGTGACGGTTCCTATTCTACATGCACCTCACATTCTGTTGCCCATTTACCACCTTCCTCTTCCTCAATAAACTCATCCATCAATATTGATGGAATACGTGTCAATAGCTGCAGACCACACCCTGGTCCTGTCACTTACCTGAAGTGATGAGCTCATTCTGTTTCTGTGTTGGCACTGAAAAGAAGCCAGGTGACACTCCCCCTCCCTCTCACTCTTCCCAAGGTAGTAATTCATTGAAAGTTTTTTTTAAAGAACTAACCACAGTTGTAATTGCAAAATTAAAAGAAATATAATGAAGTAGTAGAATTGTGGAAAAGTGGAGTTCTGAGACTAAGCAGAAAAATACCCACAGAACCTTAGATTGGTGAATTCACTCAATTGTGCAAATGCTGAGATGTGCAATAGCAAGGGTGATTATCTCGGCATGTTGCCGTTATCCTGGATTGCACAGTTGCCATGGGAATAGCGGCTTCATGCGATAAAGTCCTAAGTGTAAGTACTCTTGTGTAACTTGAACACAGAACTAATCTCCCTGCTTCAAAGGGCACTCAAGAGAGAATAGCATGAAACTAGGCACCTACTAGATCCCAGTCTGTGTGAAGTAGTTTGCCTTAGTGGCATTTGCAGCTGCTGTATAGGAGCTCGGAGCTGTCAGACAGCTGGTGTTGGAGGTGCTGAGGGCATGTGGGACACTCAACATGCTCCCCAGTGCCATTCTTGCCACAGCATCTATTTTTCAAAAAGAGAAATAAAATAAGGAAATGAATGTAGGCTGCTTGTAAATGCATTGGCACAGACTCATTGGCACAAATACCCACAAATCATTATGACTCAAAATCTACATTCTTTACTGTTGCTTGCTCTGTTCAAACCTTTCTGCACTTTCTCCACATTCTCTTCTTGCAGCAGATGGTAATTTAGTGGCAAACTTGACCCAGCATTGAGAAGTGTGGCATTTTTTTTGTAACTGCAGAAGTTTCTCAACAAGTTTTGAACAACTTGCTTGCATATGTGCAATCAGCTAATTTCAAATGATTAGAGTCTGATTGCACATATGCTTTATATATGATGAAGATATTCCGTATATCAGCATTTATTTGATTGCACATTTTTGAGTTATCCTTTCCATTGCTTTTCCTTTTCTTTCTTGGATTCAGCATAAGGCAACATCTTGTAGGCATGAAGATGAAACACCCTCATTTAAGATAATTTATTCCTGTCAATAAATGCTTTGTCTTTGCATACTTTAAAATAAGAAAGAATCAAACTGTATCTTCCTAATTTCTCCACTGCTTCATCTTTTTACTTACTCTCCAGCTCAGACCATACATTTGCATATTTATTTTTATCTTGCCTTATATTATAATTAATGAAGCTATAATCTCTTTTACTTGGTTCACCACTGAATGCTTAATTTATGCCTCTCAATTTGGGACATTTTCTCTCATTAGATTCAGGCAGACTGTGGTGCTAATATTTTGTCTGATCTTGTTAGCTTTTAATAGAACGCATTAGTTAGCTTGATGCCTCTTGTGCAGGGCACCAACATTTCATATCATATACTATTTTTAAAAAAGCAACAAATCCACAATCAGCAATAATAGCAAGAAATGAAATCAATTCCCAAACAAGCAGTGGGGGGTAGTATATAGTGATAATATCATAAACTCTTCCGTGAGGTATTCATACTGAAAAAGATATATTATGTTGAAAGGTGTGTTTTCTCTGTCACCTTGCAGAGGCAATATGGTACAGTTATAAAGCTGGATCTAGAGGGGTTTTCCAGATGGTATCTTATACTACATCTGGTTTAGTGCTATAGAACCTGCTGACATTAATTATTTTAACAAAGACATAGGGACAAGTGATAAACAGTACAACAAATAAGGGGAAAAGTCACATCTCCCTTATTTCTTCATTAATGACAACCATGTACACTGTGGTTCAATTTTACATGCACTGCATCAGTGAGATTATGATGAGCCACAGTCTCCACTCACAAAGAGCTTTATATATGCTGATGACCTTGGCCTAACAACACAAGCAAAAGACTTTGAAACAGTCAAAAACCAACTTACTAATGTCCTGAAAGATCTCTCCAGCCATGACAAAGATAACCACCTGAAGCCTAATCCTATCAAGATGCAAGTGTGTCCTTTCCACATACATAACCATGAAGCTAACAGGAAATTGAAAGTTACCTGGGAAGGCCAAGAACTTGAACACTGTTTCCATCTTAAATATCTCAGTGTCAGTTTAGATAAAACATTAATATTTAGGAAACACTGTATAAACACCAAGCACAAAGTACCTGCATGCAATAGCATACTGCAAAAACTTACTGGCAGCGCATGGGGTGCTGACCCAAAATTAATAAGAACATCAGCCCTGGCCTTGCATTACTCAACTGTTGAGTATGCCTGCCCTGTTTGGCACAAGTCTGTCCATGCGAAGCTGGCGAATAAAGTACTGAACAAAACATAGAATAATCACAGGATGTCTCAAACCTACACCTGCTGATAGACTGTATAAGGTAGCTGGCCTTCCCCCCCCCCCCCCCGATGTGTGATGGGAAGTTGCTGCTAACTGTGAGATAAATAAGGTTGAACACTCTGAAAGGCATCCACTACATGGCTATCAGCCTCCTCTCAGTAGACTCAAATCAAGGAAAAGCTTCATGAGAACCACCATTCCTCTTAATGTTCCCCCAGCAACAGCAAGAGTATCCTTCTGGGCAGCTAAACCAGGAAATCCCAATTGGGTGGCCCCCACGAGGGTCTGCCTCCAGAGGCAAACTAAGAATAGGCAACTTGACAGTCCCTGAAGGGACTCAGAAGTGGAGTGGGCAGATCAAAAGACAACCTGGCAGAATGACACTACCCAGAAGAATCCTCCATCTTTTGTGACTGTGGAGCAGAACAACAACTCCACACACTCCACAATGTTCTGCCTCATACACAAAGGGAGATTTGTTTAAAGCTACAGGCAATGCAGTTGCCCGTTTTTGGTCTAAAATTGTTCAACCACTTGTTCTCCCTCTATTTTTTATCAGTTGTATACTTATTTATGAATTGCTTTTGCCATGAAATAAATAAATCAGTGAGTGGCTCTAATATCATATAGAGCACCCTTCTCCAATTTGGCATTTTCATAGAACTTTGGATTTTAATTCCCATGATCCCTTACAATAGGCATGGGCAGACAACTATGGGGATTGCAGTCCAAAACATCTAGAGGCAGCACAGTGGTGAAAGCTGATGATATTATGAAATGAACATAGCTGTAGAATCAACATAGAGTCCTGATCAGCAGCTTTAAAACAAACACGTGAAAGTGATATATTTTCAACAAAGACTGGGAGCCTAACAATATGGCCTGCACCCACTAACTCTGCCCATTAATCCTTTCCTCCCACATGCATGGCCCAATATGAGTAACATATTTTGCTGGCTTTATTCTCCTATCACTGTGCAATTTATCAGGCCTATTATTTGTAGTATGAATCAGAGGGAGACATCTCTCCCAAACCTTTGGTTGCTATTCACAATTGAAGGTAGTGGTGAAGTGGGGGGGGGGGGGGTTGAGTCAGCCTGTAGGTCAATTTAGGAGAAACCAACTGTCAAGCATATTCATTTGGGAGACTAGATTGGAAGCCCCTCTAGTTGCCACTCATCATTTGCCCTGATAATAATCTCCATATTTACATACCTTGTTTGATGGAGTTAAAGTCTATAATCCAGCTTTCATCCCAAAACATTTTTTGCTTTTGGTACTGGAACCACTAAAGAAAACATAACAAGTCAAATTCATTCCTAGGGTTTGCTCCAGTGATTTCAGTGATATGCCAGCACTGAAGATGACAGCTGGCACAGTGGTAAATGCATGCAGTGGTTTAACCTCTAAATTATTTGTATATGTGCAAACACTCCCATTACGTAGAAAGCTTCATGTCGAACCAACTGTCTTCAGCCACTTGTACAGCTTTGCCGTTATTATTGCTGTTTTTGTATGTTGTCAAGTCATTTCCAACCTAAGGTGACCCTAAGGTAAACCTATCACAAGGTTTTCTTTACAAAATTGTTCAGAAGGGGTTTGCTATTGCCTTCCTCTGAGGCTGAAAAAGTACCACTTGCATGAAGTGACCCAGTGGGTTTCATGGCTGAGTGGGATTCAAACCCTGGACTTCAGAGTTGTAATTCAACACACAAATCACTATATCATACTGACTCTCAGAAGCAAAACAAATTTGTCTTTGTGAGGCAGAAGACCACCAGCGATCACTGCCAATCAGTGGTTCTCAACCTGTGGGCCGCGACAACAAAAGTCTGATCTGCAAACCTGCTTTCTCTTCATTTTATTTTATTTCATTTTATTTCCTCTCCTTTCTGCAAAGCTGACCAGCCCCACCCCTTTTGGTACTAAAGTTGAAGAGTAGTCCCTGGTCAAAGTGATCCTTGGTCAAGTGGGCCTGGTCAAAAAAAGGTTGGAAACCAGTGCTGTAAATGAATGTTATCTTCCAGTTCTCAAGACTCCACCAGTGTTATCAACATTGGGTGGTTGAAGTACAGGAAATGAGCACCGTGCAATGTATAAAATAATGTATAAAATATTGAGAATAGGATGACAGATTGGAATAGGATGGCCTCTCATTCATAGGGTTGAAGTCAACTTGAAAGCATTTTACAACAACAACATAAAGCAAAGTATTAATGCCCCCCCTCCCACTCCACAAAGAAACCCTTACTTTGGTCACAGAGATTCAGTATATCAAAGACTAAGGGCCCTTTCACACAGCCATATAACCCAGAATATCAAGGCTGAAAATCCCACAATATCTTCTTTGAACTAGGTTTAACTGAGTCCACACTGCCATATATACCAGTTCAAAGCAGAAAATGTGGTTTTTATTCAGCTTTGTGGAAGGGGCCTAAGTACTATGGAGGGGTCAGGGAAAGAGAAAGAAAAAGTAGAGGCATGTAGGAGAAAGTAGAGCCAGAGGAAAGAAAAATTAATTGGGTTGAGAAGGCAAATGTAAAAAGGATGATGAATGTTGTCCACCTCTTTTCAACATCAAAGCAAACATTTTCACCTTATCCATGAAAACCCAGTGATGCTTCAGAACTGGTTGGTGATATTGTTTATATTGACAAGACAGGTAACCACATCACAGAAAACAGTGCTGTCATTCTATTGGGAGGAAAATGGTTACATGAACTGAGCTGTCAAGTTGCAACTCCTTGGCTCATTTTTTTTGCCTACTTCATTTTATTTATTTGGAAACCTGCCAAGACTGAGAGTCAAAAAACCTCCACAGTTAAAAAATGTTGTGGTATAAAACAAAAATAATTAGTTGTCAAATCTCTTCTGCTTCTGCTACTCTATCATGCAGATGGAGTTGCATTGCCAACACAGTGGGGAAGGAATGCCCCTTTGGTGTTTAGACCATCTTTTGGGAAGAGTACTTTAGAAGTAAGTAGCTTTTTGAAAGTAGACGAGACAGCTGTGAACCGGTTAGAGCTGTACCTTGCCAGAAATGCCCAAGGGGCTAGCAAAATGAGAACTTTTGTTTGCAGAATCTTTTATAACACAGCCAAGGTTAAACAACAGGGTGTAGGAAGGAAAAAAGAGAAAGCAGGACAGGGAAGTGGAGGACTGCCTAAATTCTACTGGAGACATACCATGACTGTCAGAATGAAGCCTGTGCAGACTAAACACACCGGTAAGGCAATTGCGATCCTGACATCAGTTGTCAAGGGACATTCACCACAATCAGCAGGACATGTGGAACAACTCTCGTCATCTTCACAGAGGTCGTCCCCACAGACTGTGCACAAAGGGAAAGAGATGACAACATGAATACTATTGGAGGATGAAATATCTTGACTGAGGCCCCTTCAACACAGCCGAATAAAATCTCACATTATCTGCTTTGAACGGGAAACATATGGCAGTGTGGAATAAGATAACCCAGTTCTAGGCAGATATTGTGGGATTTTCTGCCTTGATATCCTGGGTTATATCTGTGGAAGGGCCCTTAGCAGAGATCAAAACAAGAGCCGGATCAGAAGAAACTAGTGATGCCTGCTGTGGGCATAAAATGGAGCAGCCTAGTAGACTGCAGAAATGCAAGTAGAGGGGAGCAAAAATAAGTGTATTAGCCCCAAATAAGAATACTGCCCACTAATGAACTTTTTCTTCAGTTCCCAAATTTTTAGTATTGCAAGAACTTAAAACAGCAGCCAAGGCTTTAAAAATACCTTATAGTTATACAAAAAAAATTAAAAAGACAATGAACCATTTTTCAGTGTCTCATTCTCTGTCATGCTACAAATTTGGAAGTAACAGGATTTTTCCTTGGAGGAGGAAAAATTTTCATTATGAAAGACAACATTCTTGTTTTGCACACACACCATAGCTACACACCTGCATTTAAGGCCACATAGCAAATAGTTTGTGGATGAGTTTTTAAGCTGGAATTGGGTGTCATTAGACACTTATGCATGTAGAAAAATCTCCATGTAGAATTAAACAAAGAAAAAAAGGTTGTACAAGATAATTATCTAAAAATACAATAATTGCCCCAACTTTGGGGTTTTTAGCCACCTTTCATTTAGAAACTCTTTTTTTTCAGAGGGGAATGGTTTTAGGGACAGGCCAAAATACCTAATCTAATGATGCTATGTCTATGTTGTGTCATTTGATACTGACTTTTTTGTGGGAAAAAATCCTTATTTATATTGTACACATTTTTCAAATGGACAATTTTTAATGGATGCCTGTCCCTTTTGAACAAAGCATTTTTTTGCATACAGAAATGCAACCTGGGATGTACAGAATCAGTAAGTCAATGAAGTAAAAGTTAATATTATGATTTTGTCACATAACCTAGTTGATCTGTACTACAAGTGGTATCAAGTTAAAACATCATATACCTTAACTACACTAAGTTTAAAAAGTAAAGGTTTCCCCTTGACATTAAGTCTAGTCATGTCCAACTCTGGTAGGTAGTGCTCATCTCCATTTCTAAGCCAAAGAGCCAACGCTGTCCATAGATGCCTCCAAGGTCATGTGGTCAGCATGACTGCATGGAGCGTTGTTACCTTCCCACTGAAGCAATAAATAATGATCTTACATTTTTATGTTTTCAAACTGTTCGGTTGGCAGAAGCTGGGGTTAACAGAAGGAGCTCATTCCGCTCCCTGAATTCAAACTGCCAACCTTTTGGTCAGCAAGTTCAGCAGCTCAGCGATTTAACCCGCTGCACCACCAGAGCTCCTACAGTAAGTTAGGAAAGACCATTTCCCTCAAATAAAGGATGTGTCCCTGTCCTTCAACAAGAGACAATAATGTAGCACATTAGTCTCAGATCTTCCAACATCTAACATGACTTGCACCGCCTAGAGTCAGTGATTCAGACATTAGACCCCAACCCTCTGACACAATTAATCATTTTCTACAATTGTCATTCCTCACATAGCAAGGACAAACACAATCTCCAGTGGTGTGGAAAATTAGACATTCCATTCTCATGAATATTCAGACTCTCGTGGCATTATATCTACACATGTTCCATGAAAACGTCTCTTGACAATAACCAGTTGCAATGTGTTGCATACCTACTGCAGGAAGAACCATAGTTTGGGCCTCTAAAGCCGCCTGCATCCGTCCAACCCTGATGTGTGCAATGAGAGAAGTCATTCCAATATGCACCAAGACAACCTACAGGACAAGCAAACAAAGGAAGCGTGGGAAAGAGGGAGGAAGACTCGTGTTCATTATATTTATATTCCACCCTCCAATATATACAAAGACTTCTTTTCACATTGCTCTTACATGCATACAACAACAAGATGTGTGAACGAGGAGAGAGAGAAAGAGAGGTACTTGGGTCATCCAATGTATTTAAAGATCCTATTTATTATTTATTTATTTTATTTACCTTACTTATATACTGCTGTTCTCAGCCCGAAGGCGACTCACAGCGGTTCACAACAAATAAGAACAGCAAAAATTCAGTGCTACAGTATAAAAACAGTTAACAACCTAACACATTACACAATTAATAAACAGTTACTACAATACCCATTCACTGTCATCTCATCATCAAAAACATGTTCCAGATTCGTCATCCATTGTTCCATTCCAGTGTTCATTAACCAATCATTGCACTAATTATTCGAACGCCTGCTCAAACAGCCAGGTCTTCACTTTTTTGCGGAATACCATTAGAGATGGTGCTAGTCTAATGTCCGTAGGAAGGGCGTTCCACAGCCGAGGAGCCACCACCGAGAAGGCCCTATCTCTCGTCCCCGCCAGCCGTGCTTGAGAAGCAGGCGGGATCGAGAGCAGGGCCTCCCCGGAACATCTCAAAGTCCTGGTGGGTTCATAGGCAGAGATGCGGTCGGATAGGTAGCTTGGGCTGGAACCGTTTAGGGCTTTAAAGGCCAACGCCAGCACTTTGAATTGAGCCCGGTAGCAGATTGGTAGCCAGTGGAGTTGGCGCAACAGGGGGGTTGTATGCTCCCTGCGCTCTGCTCCTGTTAAAATCATGGCTGCCGAGCGTTGGACTAGTTGGAGCTTCCGAGCTGTCTTCAAAGGCAACCTCACGTAGAGAGCATTGCAGTAGTCTAAACGGGATGTAACCAGAGCGTGGACTACCGTGGCCAAGTCAGACTTCCCAAGGTACGGGCGCAGCTGGCGCACAAGCTTTAGCTGTACAAATGCTCCCCTGGTCACCGCTGAAACCTGGGGTTCCAGGCTCAGCGATGAGTCCAGGGTCACACCCAAGCTGCGAACCTGCGTCCTACATGATGGATGTAATATAATTATGAATATAGGTTAATGATCTCTTATCTGGAATTCTAAAACCAAAATGCTCCAAAATTCAAAATTGTTCACCCCAGTGGCTGAGATAGCAACGTTTTTCTTTCTATCTGGTGATTCAATAGAGAAGGGAGGGAGGGAGATATGTGTTCATTACATTTTATTCCACCTTACAATGTATGCAGGGACTACTAGCTTCTCCTTTTCACATTGCTCTTACAGCTTAACAACAACAAGATATTTGTGTAGGGAAAGAGAAAAATGGAGAGAGGGAGGGAGCGAGAGAGACTTGGGTCACCCAATGTATTTACCGTAATAAATTAATGAGAATGTAAGCTTACCTCTCTTAAACCCCAGTTCAACAATCCAATCTCTTTGGCAAAATAAGACTTCCCTTCAAGAAAGAAAGTCTGCTCCAAATACAAAGATCCCGCATGATAGATTGAAAATGTTGCATCAAATTATCTTTAGGATTTGTGAATGAAATATAAATAATTTTCATGTTTCAATATGGATCCCATTTCCAAAAATATCTCATTATGGTTGTGTACACAAATACAGATATTCCAAAATCTTTTAAAAATCCAAAGAACTCTGGTCTCTAAAAGATACTTAATCTGTACTACATATCATCTTCTAACGTGACTCACCAAATCTATCTTATCAAGTAGTAGCTGCATTTAGTGATAGAAGTAAATTCTGTTTCTGATCAGGGCACAACAAGATGACATTTCCAACCCACTTCTGCCAGACAACTGCGATGGGATGAGCAGTTGCCACAAGGAATCTGCTTTGGATTGACATGGGAAGGGACTGGAAATGATATCCCACTATGTCCAGTTGCTAGCAGAACAGACCTTGATCTTTCAGTGTTGCTTCTGGCTGTTAAAGGAGATTGTGGCAGAAGTTTCATGACTGCAAACATGAACACTAAACAGTTATGAATGTGTAAGTCCACTTCAACAGGATTCCAGCCAAAGTCATCCATATCTGTCCCCTTCCAATGGCATTAGGGAAACTTTCACATGTTTATGAACTACTGATATACATATTAGAGGTTGTTTTTTTGTTGTGTCAGGAGCGACTTGAGAAACTGCAAGTCGCTTCTGGTATGAGAGAATTGGACGTCTGCAAGGACGTTGCCCATGGGACGCCCGGATGTTTTGATGTTTTCACCATCCTTGTGGGAGGCATGGGGAGCTGGAGCTGATAGAGGGAGCTCATCTGCACTCTCCTCGGATTCGAACCTGTGACCTGTCATCTTCAGTCCTGCCGGCACAGGGGTTTCACCCACTGCGCCACCAGGGGCTCCTCATATTAGAGGTGGACAACCTTCAAATGATTTCAAAGAGTCCTGTGCAAGTTAGCAGTTCAGGTCTCTGAAAGATCAGACTTGTTTCTTCTTTAGTGACTTACTAGAAAAAAGAAGTGGGGAAAAAGAAGAGAGTAGCAAATAAATAGTAGCAGAAGAAGTAGGAGAGGGAGAATAAAGCAGGTAGATAAAAAGAAAAGAACCAGTGTATCTACTTCTGGCCCTAGGTCTATCCAATGGTAGCTCCATCCACCATTACTGGCAGGAAACCCCAAACAAAATACCCAGGAGGATATGCAATCTCCAGTACAAATGTATAAATGAAAAATTGTTCAAACCTTGAACTCTGAAATACAGTAGAATCTTGCTTATCCAACCATTACTCATCCAATATTCTGTATTATCCAACGCAGTCTGCCTCCCGCCTGGATCCACAGCTGTTTCAATACATTGCAATGTTTTGGTGCTAAATTTGTTAACACACTAATTACAACATAACATCAACATGTTTTGAACTGCTTTTTCTGTTAATTTGTTGTAAAATCTGATATTTTGGTGCTTGATTTGTAAAATCACCATGTAATCTGATGTTTAATAAGCTTTTCCTTAATCCCACTTTATTATCCAACATTTTCGCTTATGCAGCGTTCTGCCGGCCCGTGTATGTTGGATAAGTGAGACTCTACTGTACAGTGAATCTGAGTGTGTAATGAAGATGAGACCTTTACCTTGGCAGTCCAGTTTTTCTGTGTCATTTTGCCAGCTGTAGATATGGTGTGAGTGAATATTTGGCCATCGTCTGGAATCCATGGTCCACAAATGCCACCTTTCCCCTTAGGGCAAAAAAAGGTGGTCAGTAAACAGTGTTGGCTCTGTCTCCCCTAAAGACTTTTCACAAGATCTTACAGCAGCTCAATCCCACTGCAACCAAGTATCAAAAGTTCTATGGTATTATTTTTAAAAAAAATAATATAATTAAACCTTTTGCGCACTGTTGAATAGCTTCCTGATAAGGAATGGATTTATACATGTTGATTTCTTCCCCATTTGAACTTTTTTAAAATTCTAAGTTCTCTTGATTTGGTATATAAACACACAATTATCTATCAGCAAGTGAGAATCCAAAAGTGGCAGGCTAAAACCCAGAACCTCAAGCCATGGCTGATACCAAAGGAGAGACTCCCCCTGGGCACACAGAAGACTGGGCAACCTGGAAGACACTAAACAAACTGCGCTCTGGCACCACAAGATGCAGAGCCAACCTTAAGAAATGGGGCCACAAAATGGAGTGTGGGGAAGAGCAAACTGCAAACCACCTACTACAATGCAACCTGAGCCCTGCCACATGCACAACGGAGGACCTTCTTATAGCAACACCAGAGTACTCCAAGTGGCCAGCTACTGGTCAAAGGATATTTAGTATAATGCCAAGGTTTTTTTTAAACTTTGTGTTTTTAAAATGCATTACAACTGTATCTTTGGTTCGCTCCTGATACGATAAATTTATCTATCTATCTGTATATCATCTATCTATCTATCTATCTATCTATCTATCTATCTATCTATCTATCTATCTATCTATCTATCTACCTATCCAATCATCTATTCATCTAGTTATCTCTCTGTCATCTATAAGAAGTAAAATTCAGGAACAGTCAAATTCAATAGGCACAGCAATTCCTGAGGTGGAATGAATCATATGAATCCTGCCTACGATGGAGCTGTTAAAGGGGGCAACCCTAATTTCGAAGCCTATTTTTCAAATATCCCCACATATATGATTGTGACTATGTAGGATTCAAAACAAGACACTGTCACTTCTCCCACATTTAATTTTGTTATAGGTTCTTTGTCTCAAACATGAAGACAGCTTTGTTGTTACAGTTGAATCAGTTTAACTTTTTTTAAAAAAAAACCCACTGATTTCTAATAAAATTAATAAAACTAGAAATAAAACCCCTGAATTCTTCTTGATGTGTCTCCTTCTCTTAACGCACAGAATCAGAAATGTCACTGCTCCTGAACTTCTAAATTATTTGAATATTTCTAATTAAATTCTAGCCAGACTTAGCATCATTACAGAACTATAAAGCTGCTTTCAAAAGATTAAAACAACTAATTATAAAATCAGGTTTAAAGCAGCAATACCTAACAGAAACTCAAAACATAGTATTATATCAAAGCAACATAATGGACTCCAATCCTTTTAGAAGAAATTGATTTCAATTAGTCTCTTTAGACATAAAAGAGAACAGTTGAAATTACACAGAATGGGTGTCGTTACCACCATATCAGTCTTAAAGTTAAATTAATATGTACTGGGCCAGATGACTCAGAATTCATTAATTTCCAGATAATGACTAACATTCCCACTGAAAATATGAAGGCAGATTTCAAAATTCCAAATCCAGAATTCAAAGGCTTGATCTTTAATTTCATAGGGAAACAAAAGCAAACTGATTTCCTCAGTGATAAAAAAAACATGGGGGGAAAATCATGGCAGGTAAATAATCACTTTTCATCCCTACTTTCCCATTTGAAACCCTGGAAATCAAAATCCGAGGTTTCAGCTTCAGAATGTATATTGGGCCATTTAAATTCGAAGGGCTTCTGACAAAGGCTGGTTATTTCATAGCATTGAACTTCAGAACAATTGCCATTCTTCAATATACGAAGGCCATGGAAGTAAAGGTGACAACTATCCTTCTTGTTTTTATTCCAATCTTCATTCAAGGCTGTCACAAGAAAAATGTAAGAAAGTGAAATACATAGGGAAAACCCCTTATAAGTCACAATAAAGTAGAAAAGAAGGCTAGTGAACAACGACATCCAGAAATAGGACTAGAATAGGCTATCATATTTGTGCCAAATATACAACGGCACAAATATGACAGGTATCTTAAGTTGTGGGTTGTCACTTTTTGCAGGCTGTAAGAACCTGTGCATTCTCACAAGAAATACAGAATTTATTTATTTATTAACTTGCTATATTTATACCCTGCCCTTCTCACCCCGAAGGAGACTCAGAGTGGCCTTACAAGCAGGCAATAATTCGATGCCGCATAACATACATACAATAAAATAAACATATACATTAAAAGCCAGCAAGTTAAAAACATCTCAACATTAAAACCAATTATTAAAACTCATTTAAAAAACCATAATTTGAAGGCGTTCCAGTTGTAATTGTACTATTCACTTATTGCAACTGCAAATTACTGTCCAAAAGCTTGGTCCCATAGCCACGTTTTTACTTTCTTTCTGAAGGTCAGACAGGAGGGAGCTGATCAAATATTGTTGGGGAGGGAGTTTCACAGGTTTTTGTGTATGTGTCAGGAGCAACTTGAGAAACTGCAAGTTGCTTCTGGTGTATGAGAATTGGCTGTCTGCAAGGACATTGCCCAGAGGATGCCCGAATGTTTGTTTTTTCTATCCTTGTGGGAGATTTCTCTCATGTCCCCGCATGGGGAGCTGGAGCTGACAGAGGGAGCTCAACCTGCTCTCCTGGATTCAAACTGCTGGCCTGTCAATTAGCAGTCCTGGCAGCACAAGGATTTAACCCATTGCACCACCAGGGGCTCCAGTTCTATAAGTGAGGGATCACTACTGAGAAGGCCCTGTCTCTTGTCCCCACCAACCACACCTGCGAAGGAGGTGATACCAAGAGCAAGGCCTCCACAGATGATCTTAACCTCTGAGGTGGCTCATAGAGGCACATTCATACATTCAGACAGGTAAGCTAGACCAGAACTATTAAGGGCTTTATAGGCTAAAGTCAGCACTTTGAATTGTGTTTGGTAGTTGACTGACAATATATTTCTAATTTATATATTAATCATAAAGCTATAAAAACAAAACATTAAGACAAGGAATGTCTATATGTACAGTGCAGGAACTCAATATAGCATGCATAAGATTGTTGCAGAAACATTGTGAGGTTTGCAGTATTCTCTCCTTGGATAAATTAAAGTGAAAGCAGTCTTCACATTGAACTAGCTTTGTGAAAGGTACCAGTTAACTTTGTACCCTAAAATGACTTAGTATCTCTTCCTTAGCTTATTAGGATAAATGAAATGCTTGAGTATGTTACTTTGTTAGAATAGAATCTCCAGGTAACATGGCTAAGAAAGAAACATGCATATCTCCGACATCACCGTTATGGCAAAATAACATTTGAATGGACACTTGTTTCTTCAACAGAAGAATGAAACATTTTAAGTTTTCTCCAAAAAGGCAAATTTTCCCCTTTTTGTTTCAAAATTATATATCTTGCTTACACTTAGTTCCTGATAGTGCTCATACTTATATGCATTTCATTTTCATGTAACATTTCTTTTGTCTGCACTTCCTTTTATTATACATCCTTCTCTTCTTGACTCAGAGAAACAGGATATTGTTTTATTTATTTATTTGCCATATTTATACCACCCTTCTCACCCTGAAGAGGATTCAGAGGAGCATATATATGCAACTATTAGATGCCATAGAAATATACATTCAGCAAATAAACATATACATTAAAACCAAACATTAAAAACATCTCAAATATTAAAACCAATTAATTAAAACATGTAGTCCAATATCATAATCCAAGGCCATTCCAGTTGTCATTGCACTATTCTGCATTCACTTATTGCACTAAAAATTTATATCCAAAAGCTTGGTCCCACAACCATGTTTTTAGTTTTTTTCTGAAGGTCAGGAGGGATGGGGCTGATCTAATTTCACTAGAGAAGGAGTTCCACAGCTGAGAGACCATCACTGAGAAGGCCCTGTCTCTCATCCCCACCAACTGCCCCTGTGAAAGAGGTGGGAGCAAGAGCAGGGCCTCTCCAGAAGATCTTACTCCTCAAGATGGTTCATAGTAATCTCCGAGATGGTTCTCTACCTTGTTCTCCCTAAATTCATCCCAAAACCCACCATGCTGGAGCCATTCCAATATGGAAATTTACTGGTCAATGGAGACATGGTTGGCAGAGAAATGTCAAATTCTGTTTCTACAGCTGGATTTACAGTAACAGAAGTCTCCAGAAGTCCCAGAGAGCAATATTTATCCTGCTCATCTATCTGTCGCTTCACAATTGGATGTTTCTCCAACAATGCCACCTGGCCAATAAATGTCTGTGTTGAGAAGGTGCAATAAAACATTAAAAATGGGTTTGGAAAGAGAGTTTGGCTCTTCTTTCAGGTTTGCAGACAATTTCAACCTTTCACATTGACCTAAAAATGACTGGCAGATACTAAATTGGTCTAACACCTTCACAAATCACTGAAGAGGACACCAACTATTGTTCATTAAAATTTGGATGACACACATTTCCCTACTCATATTATACCATGGGTTCTTTTAATGGACACCAAAGCTCCAGCTCTGCTGCAAGTTGGCAGTACTCTATAAATCCTACAAAGTAATATAGGGTGAACTATGGTTTAAAAAGTTGCTAAACTCTGCTGGATCAACAGCAGCACTTCCTTGTAATGAATGGTTGTCAGTCCTCAAAACTCCTTGGGAAATGGTACTTGACAGTGCAATCCTACACATGTTTCCTCAGAAGTAAGTCTCATTCATTTCAATGAGTCAACATCTAGGACAGTGGTTGTCAACCTGTGGGTCCCCAGATGTTTTTGCCTTCAACTCCCAGAAATCCTAACACCTGGTAAACTGGCTGGGATTTCTGGGAGTTTTAGGACAAAACACCTGGAGACCCACAGGTTGAGAACCACTGATATAAGTGATTTTACCTAAAATGTTTTACAGAGAGGATTTTTTTTGCAGCTTTTCCTTTGATGTTCAACTATTTCAGATTTAAAAAAAAAATTGAAGAAAGTTATTTTCAGTATTTTTCAAAGACCCTCATTTCCTAACAGGCCGTAACCAAGAAGGATTATGCTTGCTGTATTGTGATAAAATATTCAATATGAAGGTCTTAAGGTTTTAATTTGAAAATGGTATATTTCTGGTAGCTAATTTCAGGTATTTCTATACTCATCTCAACTCATGCTGTGCCAGAAATGTGGATGACTCCTGCAAGCTAAGGTTAAAAAAATAAAACTTGGAAAAAACACAATGGGTATAAATAGCTCCTACTTAGCTGGGTTCTCTCTATACAAGCGCATTTAATATCGCACAGCTACATTCCTCTTAGCCTTCATATATAGAGTTCCATCTAAGCAGAGAAGCATAAAATATCTATATGAAAATGAAACTTTAATAACTGATAACTGTATGCTTTTGATCAGCTCACAAATCTTCCCTCCAATGAAAGCAAGGAATCAGTAAGTCTGGGCACCATGAATTAGATTCCCCACATTTCTAAAGAAGATGAAGGAGACAACTTAGCATTTATATAACATATTTCAAGTGTTCAAAGGTCTGAGAGGTCATAAATATGTTTCATCAGCCAGTATTATTCTTCCCCAAGCTGCAGGTCTGATTGTACAGCCGAAGGAATGATGGTGTCCATCAGACCAACTGATCAAACCATGACTAAAATGAGATTTGAGTTTGGAACTCTTTTGCCATTACAGCAGATAGAAAAAAAAGGTAATAGGGAGAGAGAAGAATATTGTTTTGTTTTTTAAGTAATGCTTGGTAATATCATGACTCAACAAACACACCATGGAATAAGAAACATTTCAACATTCCTTCTGAAAAATTGTTTTGGAGGGTTTGTGAGTGAGAAGATTAGGAGATGGATCTGCCCCAACTGCAAAATGGCACAATGGGTTGAACCTGTGTGCTGCTAAACTGCTGACCTAAAGGTTGCTGAACTGCTGATCGGATGGTTGGCAGTCCAAATCTGCAAACTGGAGTTTATCAGCTCCAGTTCCTGCCAACCTAGCAGTTCAAAAACATGCCATTGTGTGGAGATAAATAGGTTACGCTTCGGTAGGAAAAGGCAAAGAGACTCTCCAAGCAATCTTGCCAGCCACACAACCAAGAGGAAACAATGCAGGCTCCTTGGCTTGAAAATGGAGAAAAAAGCACCTCCCCAGTGTTGTGACTCAGCTTGACTCTGAGTCTGAAGCTGAGTTCTTTGGGCCTTTTGAGCCAGAATCCCTACAGGATGATGAGGAGACTGATGGGTTACAGATTTCTGTACATGTTTCAGACAAGGCTGATGGTGGGGCTGTTGGAGGAGAAACAGCAAGTCAGTTCCCAGGGGAAAGGAATGTTAGTGAGACTGATAATGAGAATGAAATCCCACATGGCAAGGTGGAGAAGTCTTTTCCTCCTCACAGTGATCCGGTCCAGCTGGACCAAGATAAGGGGTTACATAGCCTTGAAGATAATGAATTAATGAGCAGACAAGATCGTCTACAATTATGGCTCCGGAGAAGCACTCGCTTGGCTAGCAAGCAAGAAGCTAAGGGTGCCAAAGGTCAACGCAATGCGTTCACGTCTGCAAAGGGTATTTAGCCTTGTATCTGACAAGCAAGGGTTGTCAGTCCAACGTAGCTCTTCCCATGCAAACTTTTGTGGATTAACTTTGGCTTTTAGCAGCACGCTTCTGGCCTCCTGAGTCTGGGTTTTGGATCTTGTTTTCAACTGTTTTCCATGGAGTCTTGTTTGACATTGCTAAGGGATTATGCTTCATGTTTTTGCCTTTGGATCTTGGGAACTTTGTCTTTGCATTTAAGCCTTTGTCCTGGCTATGGAACTTTTGCATTTCTTATACTTTGTTTTGATTTTGCCTTTTTCTCAATAAACTACAAAACCTACAGCTTTGGTGTGGTGGTGTCTGGGAGCAAGGTGGAAACTACCCTGAGTTGCAACACCCAGAGCCAGAGATGAGCACAGCCTCCAGAAGCCAGAAATGAATGAAGGAGCTTCTGCCTTTGGTTGTGTTTGTGTGTCTCATTGTATATAATTGTAAATATATATAAACCCCATTTTTCCTACTTTCCAACAGACCTCACAACCTCTGAGGATGCCTGCCATAGATGCAGGCAAAATATCAAGAGAGAATGCTTCTGGAACATGGCCACACAGCCCGGAAAACTCACAACAACCTGAGTGACAGATAGGTTACTATTAAAAGGAAAGAGTAACAATGGACATGTTATTTTTTCAACAGCTCTCCAAACTCTTTATTTTGGAGTTTGTATTGTTTTTCTATGAAAGGGAAAACATGATCAAAATACAGAACTATGCAAATGAAAGGATAAGATTATGCAGATAGCAGAAAGCTTTATTTTCATCAGTTGTTGTTGCCATCAAGGCAAGAAGAGGGATTTTTAGCTTCATCCAAACCACACTCTCACATAAGTGAAACAGTGCTATACAATTGAATGGATATGTGAAAACCTGTCTTCCAGCTTGGCCAGGGGTGTCTGCTCTTTCTGAATGTTTGGCATCAGCCTCGTTTGGGGCTTTATTGCACAAGGCTCTTAAACTGGAATTGTAGCAGGATAAGCATGTATGCTGCTGGTATCTATTGCATGATGTTGTGTGCATCCAGCTACCAGTTTGCCTTTCCTTGGTGTCTATAACATCACTTTTAAAAGATGGATAAAACCTGTCAATGCCTCCAAACCTTCCCATTATTTACTCCAGTGTGATAGGTACTTCTACTTCTGTGACATCAAGTGACATCAGTGAGTATGATTCCTCTCCTTTCTCCTTGTCCCTGTTATCCTTTGATGTTCTTAATATGGCTGTTTCCCTTTTTTCTGAGCTTTAATTTTTTTGGGGAAAAAACTCTTTCAATTGTAAAATTGTAAAATTGTGCTTTAAAAAAAAGCAATTTCTGTTCTTTAAAAAATCCATATTGTGCTACTTGCAAATGGAAATAAAATCAATATTTTTAAATTATAAAAATTATTTTAAAATATTCATTTATTGACGGTATTTATATACCACTTTTCTCACCTGGGGGGGGGGGACTCAAAAATATTGGCAAAATTCAATGCCTTACATACATAAACTAAATCATACACCAACATCATATGACTAAGCATACAATACAATAGGAAAAATGCACCATAAGATAATAGGATATTTTAATATGTATAAAAAGTTAAAACACCTAATAAAAACATTAAAATCACATGATCCATACTCAAAAAATGGACCATTCCAGATGTCGATTACACATATTCCACATTTACCTCTTGTACTGTGTTACTTTACTAGTCAAAACTTGGTTCCATAACCATGTCTTTGTTCTCTTTCTAAAAGCCAGGAGGGAGGGCGCTGATCTAATCTCACTAAGGAGAGAGTACCAGAGTCAGGGAGCCACCACTAAGAATGCCCTGTCTCTTGTCCTCACCAACTGCACTTGCAAAGCAGGTAGGACCAAGAGCAGGGCCTCCTCACAAGATCTTAACCACAAGTCATGCTGGTTAGGGCATAAGGAAACAGGGTGGACTATGGAGGCTGTGCAGAAGACTGACCATGGACACAATGGATTTCCAAAGCAGGACAACTGTACAAATGCAGAGAAAAGAGATATTGAACATTCTGAAATTGATATGCATATATTATCTACACTAATGCGATTGAGGCAAGATAGTGGCTATAATAAAGTCCTCAAAGGTTGTTTGTCCATAGCAGCATCACCCTTGTTAGGAAACCAATGATGCATCTAAGCAATAGAATCTGACACTACTTTAACTGGCATGCTCAAAACTATGTAATCTTGGGAGTTTTAGTTTGGGGAGGCACCAACACTCTTTGGCAGAAAATGCTAAAAGTCTTGTAAAATTACAGCTTGCTTGCACCATTTCCCCATAACTTCTGTTGCTACTGCACCTGAAGTGAGGACCAAGTGTTTCCCAGGCAACATCACACAATAGTTGCAAAACTAAAGGACTGTTATGACTCTTAAAGATGTTATGACTCTTAAAGATGAGTTTTATCTGAAAGAGGCTTCTGTAGACCTCATTTATTTCCACTGGTACTAACCATGAATGCCAAGGGACAGGAATGTATGTTTGCGTGATGAACACAGCAGTTCTCTCCATTAGCATCCTTCCAATTCAGCGGGCATTCCTGTTCTTCACAAAACTTCTTAGCAGCAGTCGCATCACTTTAAAAAGCAAGCAAGAAAGCAAACATTTATTCTTTAGTCAAAGGTCAGCCTGAAAGGAATGTGCACTGCTAATTAACTTACTTGAAGCTAGAAAGAAAAACACAGCACAACCCAAAATTGATGAATTTTTTTGGTATCTTGGTTTTTAGGCCTGTTTCTGGGGTTATTTGGGGTGCTGATTCAGAAAATTGCATCGGACAGGCCACATCAGCTCTAGTTTCTTAGATACTGTTATTGTGATTTTCTATGGGCGAGTAGATGAAGACTGGTATAGTTTTTTATTGCTATTATCCAGATGGAAACAGTTTTTCTTAAAATATAGTAACCAATAATTCTAGTTAATAGTTTGCATGGATTTTGCTTTGAAAATTCTTAAAATCAAGTGAATAGCAAAGTATGTTATACTTATTTTGCACAGTTGCTATTTGAATACAGAGCAAGACACGTTTCATGATTTTTGAATGTATATTTTCTGATTATATATTAGATTGTTTATGTCAAATCTATATAAATAAAAATGTAATGTTCGTTTGTGGGATTAACAGAACTCAAAAACCACTGGACGAATTGACACCAAATTTGGACACAAGACACCTAACAACCCAATGTATGTCCTTCACTCAAAACATTGATTTTGTCATTTGGGAGTTGTAGTTGCTGGGATTTATAGTTCACCTACAATCAAAGAGCATTCTGAACCCCACCAACGATGGAATTGAACCAAACTTGGCACACAGTTCTCCCATGACCAACAGAAAATACTGGAAGGGTTTGGTGGGCAGTGTCCTTTGTTTTGGAGTTGTAGTTCACCTACATCCAGAGATCACTGTGGACTCAAACAATGAGGGATCTGGACCAAACTCTACACGAATACTCAATATGCCCAAATGGAGTTTGGGTGAAATAGACCTTGACATTTGGGAGTTGTAGTTGCTGGGATTTATAGTTCACCTACAATCAAGAGCATTCTGAATTCCACCACCAACGATAAAATTGGGCCAAACCTCCCACACAGAACCCCCATGTGGGCCACAGCAATGCGTGGCAGGAGACGGCTAGTAATTAATAAAATGATTTCCAAAAAAAAAAAAAGAATACACTACAAGGTCTTTATATGCTGTTTAACTGATATCTCTTTCCAATTGAATTGTCTAAAATTCTTTTAATTCTACAGATAGTTTAACTGCATTGTAGCAAAAACTTTGTGGGCAAGTGGTGGATGGCAGTCTTGCACATCCACATGAAGCTTGTGCACCAAGGAACCGTGAATGATACTTGGCATTACAATATTGCCCAATTATTTAGAAGGTGTCATGGGGAACAGGGGAAGGATCATTTCTATGAACTATGTCATATATTTTGAAAAATATCCCAAAGCAAAGTTTTCACCTGTGAGAGAGGTAATTATTTTCCACAGCATAGTGGTAAAAATGATCAGAAGCAAAAAGAGCATAGACTACATCAAAGGATTGTCCGCTGATGACCTTTTCTGGAGGCCTCTGAACCCAGGCCATCTCCAGACCTAGAATTAAGCAGAGACACAGGTCAAACATGCACAAGGCAAAACTTAACCAACCTTTCACAACCTTTTACCCAAAGACTTTGGGTTGTGGGTAATATTGCTTTAAAAGGTTATTCTTGGGTAAGGTGAAGGTAAGTGCAGAGGTTTATCCCCAAGAGATGTGTATTCTTGTATATGGATTCCAACATTTGAAACACCCATTAGGAGAGATTTTCTACAAATTGACTCATATATATTTCTGTCTTTCTGTGTCTGGCCCCCATCTCCCCTGCTATATAATACACTTTGAAGTGCATTATAATGCTCAATATAGACTCATATAATTTAACTGGATTTTATGAGTCAAATCAAATCATTTATTTCAGTCATAGACCAGCACAGGAAATAAAAGCCACAGTTTCATACCAACTTGGTACATTTAAAATGTAAATAGGAGGTGAAGGAGTGGGAGGAGAAACAGGGTATTATATGACTCATATAAACAGGTGGATTATATGAGTCTACACTGGCATATAATCCAGTTAAATGCAGATAATCTGCATTCTGGGAATGGATATACACTGCCATCTAATCCAGTTTCTGAATCCAGGTTATCTGCTTTGAACTGGATTATATGAGTCTAGGCTGCTATAAAATTCAGTTCAAATCAGATAATCTGAATTTAGAAACTGGATTATATGGCAGTGTAGATGGGGCCCCATATGCCTTTATACATCAAAACTATGTTATGAATTTTATGTACAGGATCTGGATGTTCTTTCTCTTAGCATTGTTTTAAGATCGCAGTGGTTACTAGCTGCAGACATGAGAATGATTGATTGCAAAGGAATTGGGTAATAAAAGAGCTGCTATACACACCATTGCTTCCATTATTTATAAGCAAGTGTGTGTGTGTTTTAAAATTGACTTTCAGCAACTATCCATGAAAATCTGGCTGACATTATTCATAGTAGAAAAAAGGACAATATTGTTGAGACCAAATTGCATATAACATGATTGTCCGGAGACAGTGACACTATTTTCCAGGAGGGCAACTACATACAAATTGCCAAAGGAGGGAATGAAAGAGGACACCAATTTGCATAAATGGATACATGTACAACTTTAAAATAATTTCTAGACATTATTTTGGTACTGTTCCATTATCTGGGTGGAGGCCACAAGGAGGGAGCTAGAGAGAGAATGATAGTCCTATTTTTGGGTGGGGAGTGTTGAAGGAGTAAAACTATTTCCCCATTTTCCTGTTATTCCCCCCACCCATGTCCCCATCCTGGAAACAACCATCATTTATAAAATGGGAAATGGGAGGGAGAATAACCAGCAAAAACAATAGAAATGGTTTTCCTCCTTCAACCCCCACCCCCTCCCCATGGACTATTCTTCTCTCTCTAGTGCCCCCTTGTGGCCTCCACCCAGATAACGGAATAGTAGCATTATTTTAACTATTACCAACTGGAAGTATAATCATCATGGTGAAGACATTGGCCAGGTTGTCTGTCCATTTTGACAATTTGCTTTCCAGACATGATGACTCTAACTCTGTTCTCAATCTACTTGGAAATTTCTCTATAAACCAGAACTAGCCTAAGCATCCTGTCAAATATGAGATACATGGTGAGCATCCCTTATCCAGATTTCAAACATCTGATACACTCCAAAATTTGAATTGTTCACCTGAATGGCTGAAATAGTGACACTTTTGCTTTCTTACCTTAAGTCTATGTTTATCAGGTGTATACGAAACTTATGTGATTTTTCGTTTAGACTTAAATCCCATCTCAAAGGTTATATAGGTAAAGATAACGGTTTCCTCTGACATCAAGTCTAGTCGTGTCCGACTCTGGGGGGGTGGTGCTCATCTCATTTCTAAGCCAAAGAGCTGGCGTTGTCCATAGACATCTCCAAGGTCATGTAGCCAGCATGACTGCATGGAGCATTGTTACATTCCTGTAGAAGCAGTACCTATTGATCTCCTCACATTTGCATGTTTTTGAAATTTTAAGCTGGCAGAAGCTGGGGCTAACAGTGGGAGCTCACCCCACTCCCCAGATTCAAACCGCCAACCTTTCGGTCAGCAAGTTCAGCATCTCAGCGGTTGAACCCACTGCACCTAAGGTTATATACTTATATGTTTATTCAGTTATTTCAAAGTCCCCCCAAATCCAAAACACTGGAGAATTTTGGATGAGTTATTCGACCTGTGCTTGAAAGGAGTTCATTCTTCTAACAGTCCTTCAGATCAGGATCCATTTTCTGTAATTTAGGACACATGTTTACCCTCCTATCAGGGACTGGCAACTAGCAAAAGGCCCACATCCCAAGCAATATGAACAATTATCAGTTTCTATGCCAACTTCTTCTAGCACAGGTTCTCCTCTGGGGTCCTTTAGCAACCCAGAGAAAGCACTTTTTACAGTCAGCTGGAAGCAGAATTCATATAGTGCTTCCAAAGAGCAATTAGCATGCTTATCTTCCCATTAAAATAAGGAATGCTTGTTTGTAATAAGCAAAATTATATCATGCATTTGCTCAAAAGTAAATCTCCGAGCAACCTGTTCTTCCTGCAGCTGTGTTTTCCTTAACTGCCCTGGAAGCAATGGATTAAATGTTTCCTATTCAGTTTTCATATCTGTATATCGGAACTACCCGTAATTAATCAGGGTTTTTGTGTGTGTCAGGAGCGACTTGAGAAACTGCAAGTTGCTTCTGGTGTGAGAGAACTGGCCGTCTGCAAGGATGTTGCCCAGGGGATGCCTGGATGTTTTGATGTTTACCATCCTTGTGGGAGGCTTCTCACATGTCCCCACATGGGGAGCTGGAGCTGACAGAGGGAACTCAACCCGCACTCCCCGGATTTGAATTGCCCACCTGTCAGTCAGCAGTCCTGCCGACACAAGGGTTTAAGCACCGGGGTCATGTCTCTCCAATTAATCAGGTCATGTCTCTCCTAAGAGATGAAAGACTGACCTTTTATTTCATTGGCTTTTTAATTTATTTCTTCATTTTTGAAATTTTTGAAATGGCAAAAATAAAACTTTTTTAACGTAGCAATATCAGAGAAATCCAGGAATTAAACCCTTCCCATAAACAGGAATGAATTAAATATAGATTTATTGAAGAGAATGAACAAGAAGAAAGCATTTTGAGGAAGGCAAGGAAGAAACTAGTAAAGAGAACAATAAACAGCTACTGTATTTTCTAATGTATAGGCACAAAAAATGATCACGTATCCAGTACTAGGTGGGAAGGTTGGAGTGCCACATAGGCCGCTTCTGCACTGCCATATAATCCAGTATCTGATCCCAGATTATCTGCTATGAACTGGATTAAATGGCAATGTAGGCTCATATATTCCAGTTTAAAGCAGATAATCTGGAAACAATTACTAGATTATATGGCAATGTAGATCCAACCACAGAAAATTGTTGGACTACAACAAAATAGGGATGTCTTCATCAAGAATCTCCATAATGATTGGGTTAGGGTTAGGGTTAGGATTTCATTAAATGTTTAGTAGAGCAGTGGCCCCGGATAAAGATGTTTACAGTGAGAACCATGCACAAGCAAACATCTTGTAACTGTCACTAAACATGGTTGTTATCTTTGGAAATTTTGGACTGATTTGATAGGCACCAGAGAGATAGATGAATAGATAGATAGATGATAGATAGATGATAGATTTACCTACATAAGACTTTTTCTGAAGCAATTAGTAACACAAGAACGAAGGGTTGTGAATTTTCCATGCTGTATGGCCATGTTCCAGAAGCATTCTCTCCTGATGTTTTGACTGCATCTATGACAGGCATCCTCAGAGGTTGTGAGGTATGTTGGAAACTAGGAAAATAGGGTTTATATATCTGTGGAGTGTCCAGGGTGGGAGAAAGAACTCTTGTCTGCTTGAGGCAAGTGGGAATGTTGCAATTGGCCACCTTGATTAGCATTTAATGGCCTGGCAGTTACAAGTTGTGGCTTCTTACTGCCTGGGGGAATCCTTTGTTGAGATGTTTCTATGTGCAGAGGGTTTGCCTTTCTGTGATTACATGAAAAGTCTCATATTTTCACTGTTCATAAATGCAAGAAAATATCACTTTAATGATATACCTTCTCCTTCGCTGCCAACAAATGAGCAAATGTGGACCATCCTATAGACTAGAGATGAAACATCTGAAATATTGCTAAGGGCGCTTCCAGACAGGCCCTATATCCCAGGAACTGATCCCAGGTGTTCTGTTTATCCCAGATTATCTGGCAATGTGGACTCATATAATCCAGTTTAAAGCAGAAAACCTGGGATAAGATCTTGGATACAGGGACATTCTAGAAGGGCCATAAGAGGGTATTAGTCATTCCAGGGGACTGAAGGATATTTGTGAATATTTCAGTGGTGTACATTGCGCTGGGGGGGTGGGGTCACCTTTCCAGGATACATATCAAAGAGGCACAATCACTACTTCAGGTATGAAAGAAGGATATCTAGACCTTAAAGCAGGACTGGGCTAAACAAAACAATTGCCTTTTAAAAAATCCAAAATGCACCGTGCGGTATGGAGAAGACATTTCCATTTTCCATTCATAGTTCTGAGAACTTCTGGACCCTCCAGGATAAAAAAAATTGAACATTTTAAAATAAAATGCCACAATATGCCTCCTATGTATTTTGGGGAACATTTTCACCATGTTTTGCCCAGGATAGACCTTTTTATGACATGATTAATGCTCATCTCTTAGGTCTCGTCTTCTCCCTTTCCAAGCTTTTGGGTCAATTTAGTTGTTCATCAGTAGACTACAAGATGTTTTATTCTTCCCTAACTAAACTAGAAAATTTATGGCTTTGCATTACTTACGCCCTCCCCATATTCTGAATATGTTTTACAAGAAATATTTGAAGACGTGTTCTGAAGCGTGAAATGTAGCTTCAGAGAGATGAGGGGCATGAATTTTGTATATATTGTTTGCAGTCAGTAATTCAGTCGTAAAGGCATCAGGCAGAGCAGTTCAAAAGCCGAGGAGTATCTGTGTATGTGTATTAAATCATTACAATCGCTGAATGGTTGGAAAGATCAAAGCATAAAAAGGACAATACATCTGTCTGGACTAGCTCAGATCTAGCACAGCTTTGGAACTTGGAACAGAGCAACTTGACAACAATGGAGAATTTAACAGCTTAATTTTAATCACTTTGGAAATGCCACTGAAATATGTGTGTAAAGCTTCCCCCCCCCCTTACATTCAGACAAAAAAGTCTTCAGTGCTTCAGATAGATTGCTTTTTATGTTCTAGTCCTTCTAAGCCAGTGGTTCCCAATCCTTTTTGACCAGGGACCACTTGAACAGGGACCACTCTCCAAAATTAGTACCAAAAGGTTTACGAACCAGTTTTTGGTCAACTTTAGATTCGGTTTGGATATTTGGGGAGCGGATTCAGAAACTTCCATTGGATAGACCACCTCAGCTCTAGTTTCTGATACTAGAGCTGATGTTTGCCCACAGAAAACCATATGTAATAAACCCTGGCACTATAAGAGGGTTTCGCGAGACCAGTCGCTCTAGTTGCAACAGTGTAGTAATGGTGAGGCTGTGGACCACAGACCACAGGTTGGGAGCCACTGTTCTAAGCCTTCTATTAACCAAGAATAGCACTACCAACTGTATGTGGATTTTTCCTGCAGCAAATTCGAAAACAGAGATGAGCAACAGGTAGCCTATTGTTGGAATACAGATCCCATTAACATTGCTACCATTTTATAAGCACTTGAGTATGCTATATATCTCAATTTTTTGGCATTCTTCTCAAAATGTTGAACAGAAGTCATTTTCTGGTGCCGTTTTGAGATATACTGCAGGGGAAACAAATATATTTGGTCATTCTGTGTGCAGGTGGAGAGGAAACGGCTGGAGGGAGAGAAATTTTCCCCAAATTTCTACAAGGTATCTTACCGTTGACACACAAGACCATTCAGAACCTGAATGGTAGGTCCATTCAGGTTCTGACTCAGGACAATACAAAATACAACTTAATGCTAGGATTAGTAACATTGTGATGAACTATTTCTTCATTAGCGGTGTTGTGATGGACTACATCTTCATGCAAGCATATTTGCAAAGCAGTTTCACAACTGACTGGGCAAACACTTGGCTGCTCAAACTCTTGAACAACTAATTTGTACAACTGTAGGTGCAAGCAAAGCTGTATGGGACACTACCTTGTGTTAACTCTGAAAATGCACAACCAAAACAAATTTTGCACTAGTACAATGACATACCTGGATATGTGGCTAGCCATTTCACTTCTGCTGGTACCACTCAACCAAACAGAAGCTTCATAACACGCAGATAATTTCCATTCCAGTCAATATTAAGTTAGATAAATTCCTGGCAAAATAATCACTCTGGAGCACTTGCGTGCATGCTTGTTATTTTCCCCTGATTAGTTTGCCTAGAAATAGATGTTGCTGCTGACTCATGTATTTGCAGTCAGATATAAGTTTGGAGATGCATCAGGGATCACCGTGATTACTTAAACATCTTTCCAGTCTACTGAACTAACAGATGCTGCTACCTCTACTCCCTGACCAAACAATCAAGGTTCACTCACCTCCACAGTCCAGCATGTTATATTCATCTGGTTTGTCCAAGGGCCAGCAGTCATAATCAGTGTTATCCAAATCATGCCACCCCTCTGTAAAAAGAATCTGTCACAAAGACACATAGAAAGGCTCTAAGAGTTATTGACATGCGCACATCAATAGGCACAGAAAGTAAATATTGATTAATAATAATAATGCCGATAGATAGATAGATAGATAGATAGATAGTTGATGGATGATAGATAGTCAGATAAAACTGAAGGCTGTCTGTCAACCTATGGTGGTCCTGTATACCCAGAGGTGGTTTGCTATTGCTGTCCTCTGAATTACCTAGGATCTGGTACTCCTTAACCATCTCCCTTCAAATACTAATCAGAACTGACCCTACTTAGCTTCCAAGATCAGATGGGTTATTTTAAGAGTGTTTTTCACTCTTCACAATTTCATATTTAATATTCATTCAATTTTGAGGTAATACAAAGACACACAAAGTAAACCAACAGGGAAGAGTTTTTGATGGGCTGATTCAACTCAGCCTATGCCCATATCTTGCATGAGGGTCAACCAAGCATTGCATTAATTGCACAGAATCCATGTAGCCGTGGAAGAGTGGACTTTGTGGATGAACAGACCGGTGAAACATTGAGGAATATCACACAAAATACTGTGTCCTGTGTTTCTGTCTCATTCATTTCAAAATGTTTCTGCTACTATTCACGATGGTTTTCTCTAGTACTCTTTTCTATATTTCTGGATCACACCAAATTGAGTACTATATATGGTAAGTTTTTGTGCTCTCTCCCACACGACCATGGCTGTTGTTTCAACAGCTATGGACAACTCCAATTGTAGGACAGTAGTGTTCTTCAAAATGCTGGTCATGAATTGGATGCTGTCCTTGGGACCCTACACTGTGGCTCCTGAAGACTCCTTCTCCCCCATTTAAAAAGGTTTTCTGCTTATATAGAGTGACCCCCCCCCCCCCCCTAATCAGCCACAAGGCCTTAAAACCTCCCCCAAATGTGGCAGTATTACTTCTCTAACTCCTGGAGCCTCTCTAACACTTATAAAGCTCCCATCAAAAGAAAAGAATGACCCACATCAGCCAAAATGGTGGCTGGAAGTGGCATCACATCAATTCTAATGTATCAAATTGTGTAGGTTCCAAAGTACTGAGCCACGATCATTAAAGTGGTGTCAAAATGGACTAGTCTTACAGTGTAGATGTACCCTATGCGAAGTGTGGCGCAAGATACATCTACATTCCTTTTTCTGTGAAGTGACTACAGATTTCCAACTAAAATTTTGCCCTTAGTTAACCTAAACTTTTTATCACCTCCATTTTTTGGTTCCAATTTTTGTTTATACCATAAAAAGTAATTCCAAATCATGATGGGTAATATTGGATAGAAGCATTCAGTGGATAAGATCACACAATCCAAAATAAAAATGAGCATAAAGCAACATTTTTCAGGTTAATGTGATGAGAGAATGTAAGGCAGCTGAAATGACTGAAGAAAACAATATAATGGGGATTATATCATTTTCACTGCAACAGAAAGAAAGTACAGTAATAGGCAATAGACACAGCACCTACTTGTTGCAATTGCTTCTACTTTCACAACCAGTGTGTACATCAATCCAAAATAACTATATTATTTTTACAACTTTATTAATAGCTCTGTTGTTTGGACTTTTTGAATTTACTGTTTGTTAAATATCTGTTACTGGTCATCATTTTACAAAAATGTTCCTTAATGCTGACAGCACCACTCTGATATTACTCTGAGTATGGAGTTAAATATCTTTAAGTCCCATTTATTTCAAAGGGAGAGATTGAAGCAATGACTTGAAATCCTCATTCCATTTAGTGGGACTTAAAATAGCTTGACTCAGACTGGATCACGCTTCAGATTTTTGGTTAGTATCTTTTGAAAGTGCAGGGTGGTTTACAATTGTGAAAAAGTTTATCATTTATTATATCATTCACAACACAGATGCATGCCATCAAATACTACGATTAGTCTGTATTTTCCAATATTTTTGTGATTTAGGATTTACTGTTGACAAGCTCAAACTTCTCTAATCCTGGTCTGTAATAAGATCTAGCACAAAGATTACCTACCAGTAAATCAAGGATGATTTGGAGCTGATGGTGGACTGGTGTGGCTGCTCTCATAATCCTTGATCAAGTTGCCAAGCAGATGTCTGTTGCCGGATGAAACGTATTTCCTCTTTAAGATGTTCTACAATCACTGTATTTGCTTGTATCTCCCACTTTCTTCTTTCTTCCTCTCTTATCTTTCCATGCATGCAGTGTGGAGCAGTGAGGAAAACATACCCAATACACAACTCTAGTAAGACGACTCAACCCAGTTTCACCTCAAGGTCTCCCTCTCTGACCATTCACATGGCTGCTTTCTGCTCATCTCATGAAGTAATATTAATAATGAGATGATGAGTGCTGACATGTGTGTGTGTGTGCACACATACACACACACACTTTCTATTGCTCACAGTCCTCAGATCTCTCTTTCTCCATTTATTTAAAAGGCTTAATGTTTCTTATTGAGAAATAAAAGCTAGATACAGTATATGTGAGGAAACTGGGTCCTCTGTATAAAATAATGATGATGATAATAACAATGATGACAATGACGATGATGAAGATGGTAATAATATTAACACAAATCTAGGTTCATTTTCAGAACTATTCCTATTTTTAAGTTCTGCTTTTTAAAGTGCTGTGAATTAATACAAAACCTGGCTGAAATGCTCCCGTACTATTGCAATCCAAGCCAATACAGAGTCAGCTTGCAAAGTACCAATCATTAATGTATTTGGTGGTTCAGAAAGACATCCAGCTAAAAGTAGGGGATAATTTCATTAACTTCATGTTAATAAGATGAACTTGCTAGATTTTCACTTCCCAAATCATGCTGCATCAGGCCCTTAATATTTCCACTTTTCTGGATTTTGTGTTGCAGTTATAAACAAATGAGTATGAAGGACTTTGGCCAGGATCCTACAAATGCGTAACTGGGACCCCTTCCCTACAGTTGAATACAATTCCACATTATCTGCTTTGAATGGGAATATATTACAGTGTGGGCTCAGATAGCCCAATTCAAAACAGATATTGTTGAATTTTCTGCTGTGATATTCTGGGTCATATGGCTGTGTGGAAGGGCCCTGAGAGTTACATAGTCATGACCACTTTGTGTTCATGATCCCTATATATCCCCATGTTTAGGGAGATACTTAAGGACTGTGAAGGCCCCCCAATCCCCACTTAGTGGTCAACAATGTTATTGATGGAAATGTGTTTCTCTGTCACTCAAAAATCAGCTTGCTTAAAGTGTCTTCCCATCCTACCCCCTTGAAACAAGTGATCTCCGCTGTGAGCCATGGGTGGGGGATTGCAACAGGGACACTTTTTGCATGTCACAATGTAAATTGTTCTCTTGATCAAGTGAGAACAGCCAATCACAGCAGTGGCTGACTAGTAAATGGGGACGTGGGAAGAGTCGGCTGGGATTCACTATGTAGCTACACAACTTATAGTAACATAGCAACATAGTGCAGAGAGGATTCCAGCCAATAGTTTCTGAAAAAAGGTGCACAAATGTATGTATATGTATATGTATATATATATATAGAGAGAGAGAGAGAGAGAGAAAAGGAAATTTCAAAAAAATATATACCATTGAAATAAAGGCATCATAGAGAGAAAATAGTTGACAAAACATGTCTCGAAATGTAATTCTTCCCACTGTGAAAACTGTGCCATTTTATGTGTGTGCGTGTGTGATTCTAATTTCATTTTACAGGGGGGAAAATGCAACAAATAACAGCCTTTCAAATCACTTCAAATATATCAGGATCAAAACTAAATAGTGATGCTAAAAACTAAAAACTACTCTGCCCACTTCCACGAAACATACTACAAAAATAACTTTTAAATTGTCGATCTTTTTTTAGAACTGTGCCATTTTTTTTTAGGATTATTTGCAGCTCAAGATCGATTCTGAGCAAAAGTCGCATGCAATATCTGGGGAAAAAACACATATAAAGATCAACACAAAAACCGTAAGCATATGCTAGAAGGCTGAAAAATGAGATCCTGGCCAATGTGCCTATCCCTGCTACTGATGATAAAGCAGATATCTCTTTTAGGCATTGAAATATCCTCACTGTGACACAATGAAGGGAAACACATGTTCTCATTGTTGCTGGGATACCACAGTTGTTACAAATACTAACTTCATCTGTCAATTTGCACAGGCCCTCACCTCTCTCAGTCCCCCCCCCCAACTTATCTCAGTAATGATGGTCAATTAGAAATCCACGACAGAACAGTATTTGGATGATGATTGCTGTCGTTATGTGGTTGCTGGTAATGCTGATCACAGGCCCCCAGATATGCTTCTCCCACAGCATTCCACTGCTCCCTGCTCCACCAACCGGCAGTGAGGTCAAAGATCTTCTAGTGGTCTAACCAGAAGTCCCAGAATTAGATACTCTGTGCCGGAGTTCTGCTGTTTTGGCCTACAGACCTCCGGCACAGTGTGTCTACACTACACTTTAGCATAAGGTTGGGGATATGGGGTGTCAGCTGATGCCAAAGAAAAGTTACCAGGAGTTGCTGTGGTTGCATGTTACATTGCTTTTTGCTGTCTGTTCTGCATCAGCAAAGAAAAGTGTCAGCTGAAGTTCTCCATTTCATTTATCAAAACGGCCCAGGAGACAGCCATCATATTTGAATAATGAGAATCTGGAACAAATGAAAGTGCCATCTTTGGAGAGTTAAGACCTGAAATCCACTGTTAAGCATAGATTAGGAAATGAGAGCTAGTGTGGCATTGAAAGCTAGCCTGGTATAGTAATTTGATTGTTACATGAGGAGTCTTGGATTTGAATTCTTGCACTCTCACTGAGTAATCATGGGTAAGTCACACACTCTTAGCATCTTCTGAATAAATATTTTCAAGAAAACCCCAGGATAATGTTAAAAAGTGGAACCTGCCAAAGGCACTACCTTGTCTGTTCCCAGCTCCATGGACCCAGGAAAGAAGGAGAATCAACTGCTGTATTCCAATTCAAAATGGGACAATTCTACAATAGAGCTAAGAAATTCTGTGGCCCTCATTGGCTCAAGGATCTTTGGATGAGGTGGGGAATAGTGGCAATTCCAGTTCAGCAGCACTCAATAGTCATAGATGCCCCAGAATATAGTTGGCATCCTAGGTATGGAGCATATATGTAAAATAGGTGTATGTATTATTTCCTCGGAAGAATTAATGATAATAATAACAATAAACTTTATTTATACCCCGCCACTATCTCCACAATGGGGACTCTGGGCAGCTAACATGAGGCCAAGCCCAAAATACAATACAACACAATAAAATACAGAATGCAGAGAACAAAAATTACATGAGAAAATAATTACAGTAGCAAAATTAAATAAATAAAGCAAATTAACACAATATAAAATCAAACAGGATAGGCAGGCCAAACGGACGAGATAAAATGATATAACCCTGGGTGAGGTAGGAATAGAAAATATGTAAGTGCAGGGAGACCAAGAAGGATAAAACAGTGGGGTAAGGTTTTCAGTTTAGGACGGGGGAAAGTGCATCATAGGGGCAACACTATAGATGGAGCAAAAAGAAATGGGATAAATGGTCACTCTCCAAAGGCAAAGGCAGTGAATGTCACCTTAAAACATTTCCCCAAGCATTTCAGATGGGTAGTGATTGCGGTTTACTATGCTATAGAACTGTGATGGAGAACCTATGACATGTGTGTCAGCACTGACACACGTAGCCATTTTCGAAGACATGTGGCCACATGCAGTCCCATACAGAGAAGTATGGGGCTGCATGCTGAGAAGGACTTTTCCTTCTCGTCTCCTGCACGGCCAGGTGCAGTAGCCGAGGATGAAACATTTACTGTAGTGTAGTGAGAGCAGCACAGGAGAAACAAAGCATTCTCACTCTTTACTCCACAATCTGCTCAAAACCAAGGCTTTCTCTCATGGCTGCTTTGATGTTTTAGGGAAAAATGGAAATTTCTTCCTGTCTTGGTCCTGAAATTTGGAATTTCAATGGGTACAAAAATTAGGGACTTTATTTCATAGCAGAACTGGACTGATTCAGCAATTCATGATCTCATGATCACACTGCTGCATACACTTGTAACCCGGCCTCATTTGGCAATTTCAGATTTAATGTTATTTTATAAAACAAACAAAAAATAAACAGCGGAGGTTGCAAAGAGATGCTGAGCAAAACAAGAATTCTCAAGAAAATAGCACACTGCATAGTTTCTTTAAAATGTTTATTTTAGCATCTGTACTTTAAACATAAGATGGAATTATGCAATATTTTCATAACTGAAAAACATATGGCTAAGCTCAAGAAAAGGCCAGTCTCTTAGTGAATGCAGTGTTGTTTTGCTCCCATCTAGTGGTGTTAGGCCAAAATGACACAGCATAAAATAGCAATTCTTTCACACACACCCACAACTGGGCAACAATTTTTGCATGTTTTAGTACATTTTTATTGTGGGGGAGGAGGTTTCCCATAAATTCCCATAAGACCCATTGCGTTTTATGCAGTTTAGAACTTTTTCACAAAATACATGTGTTTTTGCACAAAATCCTACTTATGTAAAATATAAAATACAAGAAAACTTACTGAGCGAAGGAAGATTGATGCTTTTGAGCTGTGGTGTTGGAGGAAAGGGCTGAGAGTGCCTTGGACTGCGAGAAGATCCAACCAGTCCATCCTCCAGGAAATAAAGCCCGACTGCTCACTGGAGGGAAAGATACTAGAGACAAAGTTGAAGTACTTTGGCCACATCATGAGGAGACAGGAAAGCCTAGAGAAGACAATTATGCTGGGGAAAGTGGAAGGCAAAAGGAAGAGGGGCCGACCAAGGGCAAGATGGATGGATGGCATCCTTGAAGTGACTGGACTGACCTTGAGGGAGCTGAGGGTGGTAACAGCCGACAGGGAGCTCTGGCGTGGGCTGGTCCATGAGGTCACGAAGAGTCGGAGACGACTGAACGAATGAACAACAACAACAACACCTCTAAAAACAGAAGCATGAAAACAAAAATCTGCAGAATCAGAAGCTATATGCTGTGGCACTGGGCAATAGACCTATATAAAGAGAGAGAAAGAGGCAACATTTGAAATAAGTGATGTTGCATTAAGGATAGATGAGCCCCAGCTATCATGGTGGTAATGGATGTTGGAGCTGTGGTGTGACAAAATCCATGAATGGCCTAACTCAACTTTAAGGGAATATCCAACTTCAGCATGTCTGCATTGAACCCAGATTATGTTTATAGAGCTTGGATTCCAATGAAATGA